GGCACAAAGCAGCAGCAGCACTGGCAGAGGCAGTCCTTCCTTTTGCTGTGTCTGCCTGCTGCCACCATTTCCCTTGCACCAGAGCTAGCAGTCATGGGGACGACTGACGGAACACAAGCCTTTTCCTCTTTTCTTCTGGGAAGTTAGTTCTGAGCCAGACCAGTTCCTTGATCTGATTTGCCACGTGAGAGCTAGTTCCAGTGTAAGAATAGTGCTGGAAATGAAGGTTGGGCAGAGCCAGCCTTTTACAGCAAAACCCCTTGTGTAGACTGAGTTAAACTGGTCAGTCGCTATCGAGGCTAAGGGGGCAATCTTTGTGCTCCAGGAGCAAAACAGTTGAGGCAAACCACCTCTGTGTCATCACCTAAATGAGACTGAGCTCCTAGGATATCCCTAAATTAAAAACCATCATCTGTGTAAGAGAAAAGGCAGAACACACACAGCTCATCAGGATTATTAATGATGTGTGTTCCTGAGCGGTCTCCTTGGTGAAGTGTTTGTGTTTGGGGGAGGCCACTGTCTTTGTTGGAGATCTGGCGTGGCTCATGTGCCCCCGCAGCCCCTGGTTGAGAAGGGAAGGTCACAAGCTGTCCCTTTGCAGGGTAAAGCGGTGTTCTCAGCGTAGCCCTCGCTGAATGTGTCACACCACATCATTGCCCTGGAAGTTTCCATGCAAGTTAAGTTTAGATGCTAAAGAACCTCCAACTCCCACCCACTCCAGAACTTTCTGACATCATTAGTCTAGAAACGGGGTGGAGGGCTGTACATGAGGAATCTGATGTTTAATCAGGTATCGCATTATCAGTCAAGAAAAAACAAACACTTCATCGTTTCTCTTCAGTGTTCAGAATAAACTTTCACTTTCCCTGTAGCATCACCTTATGAGTAAACATCAGAGCCCTTGATCCCCCAGTAATTTCATCAGATAAATGGTGTTTTAGTGGCCTTTCTGGATGTTGAAGACTGTTAAAATAGTAAAAATATTAGAAATCAGTAAACAGGAACAAACAGGAGTCCTGATGCTATTGACGTCTTTAATTTTGTGCCCAAACTTGCAATTGCATGTTGGTGGGTTGGACCCAGAAAGTTTCCAGTTTTGTGTTACAGAAGCAAATCCAAGTTCCCTCATTCAATAGAAACCTAGCAGGGTGTCTCTGGACTTTAGTGACATAAATTTCTGAGATGGGGACAACCCAAACCTAGTGCCTGTGTTGTGTGAGCTGCTCAGGTTGGAAGGAGTTCATGGTTTAGCTTGGGGGTATTTTGTGCCCACACTGGGATTATATCACTCACTTCCTGTGATAGTGGATAATGGATTAGAGAATTATTTTGAAAGTGATTGTTTTTTAAGTTGGGGAATCAGCATTTCTTTCAGAAGAGTTGTAAATAGATTTATAAAGAAAGGATTTACTAGTTCGTATAACCCCTTTCCGGTTGAACAGCTAATGCTCCCCAGGTTTGACTGTAACTCTGGATAACTCCTTTTTAAATCCTGCTGCCAGAATCTTGATGAGTGGGATTTAGTTTTCTTTTACCATTGTGCTGGTGGTATTTTAGTGGATTTTGGGGCATCGTGTCCCATTTTCACCTTAGAATTGTAACTATTTTAAAATATTATTTTCATTTCTGTGTGTTTGAGTTGCTAAATATTACTTTTGAAAGCTCTCCTTCCCCATGTGAAAGAGCTGTGCTTCCAAACGTTCCTTCATATACTCATGTTTGCATAGATAACTACGGAAAATTAATTTCTACCAAGCTAGCGCTAGTTTTTTATTAGATTGGGCCATCACAGGAGCATACCTGGATTGTTGGTTGGATTCCAGCTCTTTCAGTTGGATTCCAATGAAGACAGTAAGGTGTGGCACCACACAGCGAGAAGCAGTCAGAAGAGGAAGTTGAACTCTTGCCAAAAACAGAGTACTTCTTCCTTTTATTCATGTGTCGTGTTCAAGCCTTTTTTACCCTACCTGCTCCCAACGTGCTGCATCGTGTGACGTTTTTTACTTCACGTGTGTAATGTCGCTGGTTTCGGCAGAGCTGCTTGTGTGGAGCTTGCACGGGTTGATGGTGTGGCTACTCTTCTTTTCCAGTTCTTTCTGGTCCCAAGATCTTCAACAGCATTTTTTTTAATTTTAATAACTTCAGGTTTGTCAGGTTTAACCCTGCCTGTTGTTCTTTCGTACAGAAGTTGGTGAAATAACATTGAATGACACGACCATCCTCCATACAGCTATACTCCAGGCATTAGTCAGTGTGTTTGTCTGCCTCGTTTTTGTTTGTTTTTAATATTCTTAAGGTGCAAGCCAGCATCTGTTCAAGTTAGTGGCTACTCTCAAATTGACTTCAGAGGGAGCAGAATTAGACGTTTGTTAAAAATAACAACATTTTATTTTGTTTGGATGATCATCTTTTAGGTGGGAATGTAATATGTTTTGAAATTGATGAAAGCCGTGCACTTCTTTATATGAACATGGAATCTAGTCTCTATTTTATTTAAGCATGTCATCACAAGATGGAGTTGCAGCTGTCTTGTTCTCCTTTTTTGCTCTGTTATGTTCTTCTCATCTGGTTAAAAATAGCCCAAGAGGAATCAGTCTTGACTGAGCACTTCCTCTTTCAAACTACAGATTTTTTAAATTGTATTAAATCATTTATACAAAAGTGCTAATTAGGAGTGAGGGGTTTTTCGCTGTAAAAACAATATATACAGCAATTCTATTTCTTGCAATTATTGGCACACCACACCTTTCCTATATCAGGTGGTTAAAGGGACTTATTGGGAATTTGCGAAGGTTCGTAGTATAGGAAATGATGTAATTTGAATATTAGCATTACTAATTTTCTCCATATCTAGTGTATTTTTGTATTTGTAGAGTTCTCTTAAGGTTTAAGTCTGCTGTTATTTATTTCTGAGGAAGAGGCTGCCGCGCCTGTGGAAAATGTAATGTGGGACTGGTGCTGCTTTGAGAGCCAGACTTGATTGCACAACCACAGAGTCCTGGCTTTTGATTCAGTATCAAAAGCCAGATCCAGATTTTGTGCTTGGCTTCTATCTACAGGGAGTTAACTTAGACAAAAGTATTGAATCTCTGTGCCCAATTCAGTTTTGAAGAGGTTGGTCACCGATGGCTAATACGACACACGAATGTAAGCCTTGATGCCAGACTGTCCTTGGGAGCTAATTGCCTGCTGGCTGCGATGGCAGAGCATGGCTTAGACTCACCTGAGCTGCTGGGAGCAAAGCAGCATTGCACTCCCGATGATCCTTTCCACGAGGTGCAGTCTAGAGAATGCACTTTTTTTATTCTCTGAATTGGGCTATATCAAGAGGCAGTTGGGCTGCGGAGTGTGCCAAACCCGAGCTAGGCTGAACGGCTGTCTGTTCCAAACCTGTTTTCTAAAGATCCTATTTTATTAAGTTAGCAGGTCAATGAAAGTGCATTAAAATTATAAAAGTCAAGTCCGTTAAATCATAAAGCTTTGCTCTGCATATCTGGTAATACAGTCAGCCACCAACCTGCAAAGTGCACACTGGCACAACTCCCCTGGGCACCAGCATTTCTGAAGTTAGTATGTAGTTGCTCCTTAGTTTTGTACTTGCTAGTGTATTTATCTTGAAATATTGCAGATCATGGACTTGTAAAAGGGAAAGGTGACTTGGTTTCTTTTTACAGTAGAGGCCGGGAGAAACTGAGATATTCAGAGCACAAGACTGAAAATGCCAGTGGAAAGTATTCTGAGCTCAGTGCATTTATTATTTCACACTATCAAAAGGTAAAAGGAAGAAATCATTCAAGTGGGCACTGTGGAATCCCACTCATGGCAGGGTGGAGACCAACCCGGTGATAAATGTTAAAGGTCAGAGCTTTGCAATCTAATCAGTACAGTGTGATCCCCAGCCTTCTTATCACAACTACCTTTCATCTTTTATTCTTGCAAGAGGCCTTTGAAAGGGCAGGGGAAGGAGTGAACTTGAGAGGTGGTGATCTGTTGGCTTGGCACATGTTCACTTTAGGTAATTGCAAGGAGTATCTATGCTGAACTGCTGCTTTGAACAATTTTGGAAAAGAGAGGCACTTTAAATGATTTTAATTATCAGCACTTCTACTTAAATGAAACTAAATCAGTTTCTCATTTTGCTAGCATTCAATGTCAACATAATAGTTGAATGTCAGACCTTAAAGGAAAGCGCTGAATTCAGAGGGGGCTGCTTTTCCTAGAATCACCCATTAAGCTAAGAGTACATGAAATGCACGGGAATGATTTCCCAGGTCCTGTGTCTCGTTCACCCTTTTGCTTATTTTAATTACAAAACTGAAAACTGAGCTTGGGTTATGCGTTACTATGTTTTACACTGGAAGGAATATGTAAGGAAACAGATCCTTTTCAGCAAGGGTTTGCTTGCTGTATTAGGAAGTTTTTCTCATAATGACACCACTAATCACTATTCTCAAAAGTACAGAAGTGACACAGATGTTGATGGGAGTGGAGAGATGGTTTGTGTTATTTCGACTTCATTCTTGTCCCAAGAACTGTCATCTGATTATTTTTCCATCTCAGTTTCTAGAGAAAAATGATGATATCCTGTGGTGGTGTAGTGGGACTTCAGCTACATCCTAGGACTTACTTTTACTGAAATATTTCTCTTCTGAATTTTGTCATGCAGAAATGAGAAACACGTCCGGGGAATGACTTTTAAACTGTAGATACATGAAACTGGTCTGGAAGGCAGTGAGGAAGCCAGATGCAAGAAACAGCTGGAGAACTAGGACAGTTTAGCCTTGCATGATGAAGGGAAAGCATTAAAGGCTTCTGTGTCGTTGTGTACAAAGAATTTATTTGTGCGGCCCCTGTAAAGATAGCAGGGACTATCGGCACGCTTTGTCTGCCTTGGCAGCACCATCTCTTCTACTGGTGGAAATTCATCCCCAGTTTGTTTGAAGAATTACCGCTGGTTTTGACGGCTAATTCTCAGTCTTGTCTTCCCTTCTGCTGTTCAGTGCCTGAAGAACAGCTGCACAACATTGATGAGTATGATCTCAACGTTGTCCGCCTCTGCTTCCAAGCTTTCCTCCCCGACGAACACGGCAACTACACATTAGCTCTTCCTCCTTTGATTTCCAACCCGATCTATGACAACAGTAAGTACCAACTCAGTCTTACGTGTATTTCTTTTTGTCCTTTTGTTTTTCGGTTTTGCTTGGGATGAAAAATGCCAGACCAGTTTCTGAGGTCCGTGCCAGTCTTCAGAGACATCTCTGTGGCTTGGGACTGCTAGATGCATGTCTAACACATGGCAAGTCCACGAGCATATGCTCAAAAGATGATCAGGGTGAAGTGTTGGCCGACCAGAGTACGAACTGTCCGTCGCGTCCATGGACTCGCGCACGGGTGCTTTCTCAGCCCAGGTTCACGTATCACAGCAATGATTGCAAGGAAAGGCCTGTTTCTGACATGCCAAGTGATTAAAATAAATAGTAGCAAGATGGACAGCTGCTGTAAAACTGATCTCTTTTCCAAGGTTGCCCTCTAAAGTCTGTTTGTTACCCGTGAGGAGTCTTGCCTTTGCCGTGTGAGGGGTCTGGAGCAGGACTCTCTTGAGATTTATCCCAGTGGAAAACTGTCTTAACGCTTTTATAGATCTCTTTTGTAGATCTTTTAGTTGGTTGCTGTTTTCAGTGTATAGGTAGGTAACGAGGGAATGTTTGATCATGCTCTGGGAGGGTGAAGAAGTATGTGAAACACCCCTTTTTGGCACCTTTTTCCACGTTCCACAAAACTGGACTTATGTATGGCTTTGGCAGGTTCACTGCAGTTGAGGATTTTAGGCCTCAACACGTGCTGGACTCCTCGGGGAGAATAGCAGAAGAGCTTTTAATAATTGTAAGCTTATCGGCGGGGGTTTTATTTCTGCAGTGAAAGTATTTCCATACTAAATATTTAAGGTCATTACTTTAGCAGAAACTACTGAATAAAATGAGGTCTGCATTTTATAAAGTTGATGTTAGAATTGTGTTGCTGTGGGCATAACTATTATGAAAATGTTGAGTATGAACTCAGGTGTTGTTGATATTTTTAGAGTCTCTTCTAGAATTCTCTAGAAGTCAGAACCGTGTGCATTGTGTTATTGAGATAAAATTGATGTACAAGATTTGCAGCTATGTCTTAGATGCCATTTAGAAATGTGCCAAATCATGATTACTTGTCTAGGTTGACTGACGTCAGTCTTTGCTAAGCTGCTGAAAGGACAGATAGCTGTGTGGTGGGGGAAGCTTGGTTTTTTTACTGTGGGTGTATGTGGGCAGCTTCTGATATACTGTAGGTATCTAAAAATCCTCCATGTAACACAGCAGCAGTGTAAATGAAAGTGCATAACTGCAACCACTAATCATAAAAATTATGCTGCTCTTGTCTGGAACAGCAGTTTCAGATCTGAATTTCTTTTAAAAAAGCTAGCTTTTTTAAACCTGTTCTGTCATATGGAACAGGGTAAGGTCAGGTTGTAAGCGTAGATAAAATTGTATGGTACAGTGGGCTTGAAAATCCTAGGTTGTTGGATTTCAAGGTTTCACAGATCTGTTCAGATCAGGAGCAAAAAGGTATTCAGAGCTTTTCTGAAAATCCACTTGCGCGTTTTAAATCTAGTATTTTCTTCACCTTCTAATACTTTGTAGTCTCCACCTGCTTTGAATAGTAGAGATATACAAGAATAATATGAACATAATACAGAGGCAATCATGTTAGCGGAGACTGCAAGTGTATAAAATTCAGTATTAGAGGCAGCTTCTCTTTTCAGTTGTTTATAATGTTAACTGATTTTGAACTGGAATTTCCCAAGTTGCATCTCTTAGCACGCTGAAAACTCTTGGGAAGAGTCAGATAAAGCAGCCTACCATTTCTGGGAAACGAGGTTAGGGAGAACACGTCGTTCTGCCCCTGTTGGAAGTGACATGATTTTGGGCGAGAAGCTCGTTTTTCTAGAGATTTGTTCCCAGGAGCACGCTTTTGAGGAGCGAGGAACAGGAATTGGGCAGGAGTCGAAGCGACAAGGAGGCGAGGGGGTGCGCTGGGGGGAGAGAGATGGGAAGTGGCACGGCACGACATGAAGGAGGCCCCAGAGAAGGTTTCCCTCTAAGGCTGGTGCCGCACGCGGTGTTCCTGCCCAGCACCGGGGCTGACAGCGGAGAGTGGTGCGTCCACGTCTGCTGGCGTTCGTGTTTCTTTCCTTTATCCTCTGTTCTAAACTCCCCTTAAAATAAAACACAACCCCACAAACTGCAGCCTAGGAGACCTTCCTAAAAACCTGTTAAAAGGACACTGAGTGCCATTCAAGCATACAGAAGTGAAACAAAGGTAAAATTAGGCTTCTGGCAATTCTTAATTTACCCTTCCTGTGAAAAACGCACAATGACGCTGTCAATCATATGATCCTGCGCTGTTTCTGGCTTTGTTTTGTTTCCCCTCCCTTCAAAGTTTGTGATTCATTCAGCAAACAAAGTGGCATGTGTCATGTAGTAAATGAGGCTGTAGCACCCACTTCTCCTCATAATAGTAGTAATAGCTGCAGATAGTAACTGCGTAATTGGGGTCTGGCCTGAGGTTACCAGGAGCTCTGTCTTCAGCGTACCTGTACAGTACCATGACAGATTGTGCAGGAATTGACTCAAACGAAGAGTCTAGATTATTAAGGGAGCGAGTGGCATAGCTGCACTGGTGTCTTGTTTTTGGAGCTGAGAAACTGAGCACTGTAGGATCATGGAACATCGAGCCCTGCTTCTGAATTTCCTGTACGGAGAGACTTGTTCCGGGTGGATTTGGGGGTGTGTCGTGCTCCTCCAGCTGTTGCCTTCCTTTCACAGCCCTTAACTCCCAGCACCTCGTCTTCAACAGCGAGAAAGTTACAGCAACTCTTTATCATCAAATTTGCCTGTTTGTTTCCAGGAGCTCCCAACACGGCAGAATTGAGAATTTGTCGTGTGAACAAGAACTGTGGAAGTGTAAAAGGCGGGGATGAAATATTTCTACTATGTGACAAAGTTCAGAAAGGTAATCTTGACTAGGCTTTTTCTTTCCCTTTGTCCCAAATGGCTGACACTGCCACTTTCCAGCCAGGGAACTGAAGTCCGTCACCACACTCCTGTGCAAGTGGTTTGGCTTTACAGCTGGGAAGAACAGCTTTCAGGTTCAAGGGCTCTCAGCACATCTGAAAGATACTCGGTGCCTTTAAAGTTGAGCCATTTACTTTGCATCTGAATTCTGGGTCAGACTCCTTCCTTTGTTGTTGTTCTCCCTTTTTTCTGTTGCCAGTTCTCAGTTTTCAGTTCTCCAGCTTAACAAGCATCTTCTGTTTCTAATGGACTAGATGATATAGAAGTCAGATTTGTCTTGGACAACTGGGAGGCCAAAGGCTCCTTCTCACAAGCTGACGTTCACCGTCAAGTTGCAATTGTGTTCAGAACGCCACCGTTTCTCAAAGACATCACCGAACCCGTCACGGTGAAGATGCAGCTGCGAAGACCTTCAGACCAAGAAGTCAGTGAACCTATGGATTTCAGATACCTACCAGATGAAAAGGGTACGGTTCCAATTAGCTGAGTTTCTGAAAAGCCATTATCGGTGCAGAACTCGCGTTGATAATCAACAGTAGCTGAATTAGCGAAAATTCTACAACGCTACTTCTACAGAGTAGGTTTTTAGTTTTTAAAAGTAACAGTAGTCCGTTTGTTCCCTCATTCAATGAAAATACCAAGAATCACGGTTAATAACGGTGCCTTGGTCTGTCACCTCTGAAAGGCTTCTCTTTAAATGTATCTTACAACAGCTAGGGTGCCACTAGTGTAAGTTTTAGAAACTTCCTTTACTAATTATATCCAAGAGAAATCTAACACTTTTCCACGCCTTTCTCTGTAGACCCATATGGCAACAAAGCAAAAAGGCAAAGATCAACGTTGGCCTGGCAAAAGCTCATACAGGACTGTGGTAAGGAAAATATTTGTCCGTCTTGTTTGAGTGAACTTACATTTAACTGGCGTTATGTTCTATAAAAGCAAACATTCAGCGCACACTCATGCTTTCTTCCATCGCAGGATCAAATGCGACAGAGAGGCTGAAAGTAGCTCCGTTCCCTGCTGTCACTCCTGAAGGGAAGCTGATTAAGAAAGGTAGGGTTTTCCTTGCAATCCAACAGTGGTTTGAAACAAGAGTCTGATTGCTGTGGGGAAGGGCTGGAGCTTTTTCAGGGGGGACTGAAGTTCCCAGGGCAGCAGGAGTCCCTGCATCTTTCTTTCCCTCCTCCAGATTCTTCTCAGAGCCTCAGCCATGCTGCAACTTCCCCTCTGCACAGGAGAGGGCTACACCTTCTTCATCTTTAGGCAGTGCTAGGTTTCAGCTTAAATTTTAGATAACTATCGATTTTTCTCTTGTGTTCAGCTACTCAGTCCTTCAAACGCGCACTCGGTTGCTGGCCTTCCCACCTCTTTGCTTGACATTCTAAAATTCTCTTGAGGGTTTCTTCCCGTGATATACTGGTACTTTTGACTGTACAAACTAAAGCCTTCGGTTCTTTACGTAGATGTGGCTGTCACCTTCAGCATCTGCCGTAGCGAGGCGAGGCGGGGAGCTGTCTCGCTGCTGTCCAGAAAGCTGGGGTCTGCCCTGGAGAGCAGTTACACAAGTATGAAAGTGCAAATGCACATCTGATCCTACTCAGCACCATTTCTGCTTTGCTTTTCACCATTCGTAATTTTAAAAAGTATAAGGAAATGGCACTCAAACAGAGTCACGTCTTTTCCTTTCCGTAGAACCAAACATGTTTTCCTCCACGCTGATGCTGCCGGGGCTGGGAACCCTGGCCAACACGAGTCAGATCTACTCTGTCTGCAACCAGCCGCCCCACCAGCCGCCGCCGGGGAAGCAAGACACGCTCTCCTCGTGCTGGCAGGGGCTGTACAGCACCCCCTCTTCGGCCGGCAGCCTGCTCAACCCGCACCCCCAGAACAGCTTTGCGGCAGCGGACGTGCCTCAGCCCGCTGCTCAGGGCAGCGGCGCTCTCCCACCTTTCCACGACAGCCCTCTAAACTGGCCTGAGGAGAAGGATTCGGGTTTCTACCGGAATTTCGTCAGCGCAAACGGGATGGGAGCAGTGGTGGAGTCAACTGCTGACATGCAGGGCGTTTCTAGCAACAGCATCGCGCACCAGGCGCATCCCGCCAGCGTCTCCACCGCCAGCATCGTGAGCATGGAGACCGACGACATGAACTGCACTAGTATAAACTTTGACAAGTACAACCCCGTGTTAAATGCCAGCAGCCACAGGCAGCAGCTCCACCAGGTGCCTCCAGCGTGCCCGCCCGTGGCAGCCCCGGGCAGCGCGCCTTTTAGTGCGCAGCCCAACTTAGCTGATCCAGCCGTTTACAGTTTTATAGACCAAGAAGTTTTAAGCGAATCGAGATTATCCACCAACCCGCTGCCAAACCATCAGAATAGCATTGCTGATAACCAGTACTATGACACCGACGGAGTCCCCGCTGATGAGCTCTATCACTCTTTACAGCTGGAGAGCATTTTACAAAGCTACAACCACTGAGCCAGCCGTGTGGGGCTGGAAGCGGGGACGTAGTGCTTTTCAGATGGCTGGCTGTGTGAAGAGGAGTGACTTACCCTTCTGGAGCCCCTGCTTTCTCTTTCAGAATTTTACGATGCAAGTCGCACGATTTAACTTAAGGTTATATATTAGAGCCCAAACACTGCTGCCCATAAAGAGAGGTGGGAGTAGGGGTTGGGGTTCTGTACCTTAAAAGTACCTTGAATACATATTTTTCTGCTGTCGGAAAAGGGAACTGTTAACACTTAACTCTTCCTTACCTTTGGGGACTCTAACAAGCCGGCACCTTCAGAAGGGTTAAAAGTTCCAATTCTTCACAGGGTTCAAATTGTTTGAAAAAGAAGCATTTGGGCTATGAAAATTAAATTTAAATAGCACAGAAATTAGGAAGAAAACCTGCACGTGGGCACTCTAGTTCAGACTCACCTACCAAGGTTAAAGTTTTACTCCACTTACTTGAAAGGGTTAGCGTTTTTTACCTTCTTTCGTATAAAATATTGCTTTCCTAAAACAGGATTATGCATTGATTTTTTTCACATTTTCACCACACTCCATTTGCTTTGAAGGCAAATTTACTCTAAAATTTTTTTAATGACTATGTCATTGTTAGATATATTTTAAAAGACCGGAAGGTTTGAGTTTTTAAATAGTCCAGCTCTGTTGTAAATGAATCACTGTGCAAAAGAATGAACAGAAAGTAAGGACTTCTCTGCACTTCATCCAAAGTGCACTATTTTAAGTGACAAACCGCTGTTGCTTTGGGAACGGAGCACACTGTTATCTCTCTGGAAGTTTTTTTTCATGTATGTGTGTGTGTGTGTGTGTGTGTGTGTGTGTAGCTCTGATGTGTGTTACTTGGAACCGCAGAAATCTGTTGAGCCAAAGCACCTGCCCCATCTTTCCGGCAGTTTCCTGCTATGCAAGTGACTGCTTAAAAGAAAGCTCCGATCCTGCCTCCCCACCACCCCCACAAGAAAGCTCTGGGGCAAAGCCAGAGGCCGTTTTCGTGCAGCCTCATCTAGATGCGCTCTCTTAACAATTTCAGGCCATTTCAGTCAGGACTAATAAAACCCACTCCTCTCTACTCCCTATCAGAAACCAGAACTTCCCCCCTTCCACCTGACCCCCCAGTCTTCATTCTTAGCCTGAGTTGCGAGATGTTCAGGGACAACTCGCATGGATGTAACTGGCTAGGTGAGACACTCTGCAGTATAGGGCTTTGCTACTTGATTATTATTATTATTTTTTAAGAAGCAACAACTATATGGATATTTCTTAAGTTATACAGCTGTTCTGTATGGCAGATAAGGCTTAAGAATGTAACTGTTACTGTCTGGCAACATAAAACTGCACCATGGAAAGAAGCAATAGAAAAAAAGCACACTCTGGTATAGAAAACATCAAAAACACAACCCCAAAAAGCTAGCTGAGACGTAGAGTTGTACGCAAGGCAGAAAGGAACTCTGAAACACCTCTGTGGTTTATAGGAAAGCAAGGAGTCCTTCACTGCATTCAAAGCAATAAGGTGCTGCAGCTATAATGCATTACATCAGTTACACGGGTGTGACAGTGTACGCTCCTTAAACAATGTCTAGGATAGATGAAGTTTGGAGAACTGCTCCCCCCAGCTCCGGGTACACAACACCATGAATTGACTCGCCGTGTTTTAAAGCAGTTTCTCCTCTGCAGTCTTAACTAAGAGAAAGATGGAAGAAATACAAAGAAAGTTTGGAATGTGTTGTTTATTCAGGTTTGTTTTTTTTTTTTTTTTCTGAAGTTCTCAATTTTAACTATATTAAATGTAAACATTTTACTCACTTCATAGAAAGCTCGTTATAGTACAATTTGTTTTTATTGTTTAATTAAATATTGTTAAAGTTCTTTTTTCCTTTGTAAACAAATTGGTTTGGTAATTAAAAAACTGGTTATACTAAGTACTCGGCTTCTGCAACCTTCTCAGATTCATGACATCCCTCACTGTAAGAAAGCCAGAGAAGTGGCGGAAAGGAGATCAGGGGTTGCTCATCCTGGGGTTTTTTAGAGTATTTGCTACTCACAGGTACGGTTGGCCACCACCCAACCTAAAGCAACGTGTGTACGAGGGGTTCATCTGCACTCGGCAGGTTTTTGTGGCAGAGAGGACAGATGCTTTCATGCCCAGCTGGAGCTGTGTGACTGGTACAGCCTTCTCCAGTTAAACTGATGCAAAAAAAAAAAAAAAGTAGGAAGGGACATTATAGATCCCCACTTATTTGGGGAAATACAGCGGCTTTATTTTAAGAGTCCTCCCAGTGCAAAGGAGGATGGTGCTAAGAATACCCACCTGCCTTTTTTATTATTTTTTACATAATGTGCTAGAAAATACCTACCTCTTTCACACATGCCTAATGAACAAGATTAAATCTTATTCTCACAAACCATCCTATTTAAGTACCCACAAGTAGGTATTTTACTTTTAAAAAAAGATGAAGCCCAAAGTAAAACATCAATATCGTTGCTGCGATATTTGTTCCGGATGATGATAGTTCAAAGTGTTTACCTCATAATGGAAACTGCAGACTTTAAACAAAGTTCAAAAAGCTAGATTGCATCTCTCATTTTCATATTTTCACATGATCAATAAACAATAACTATCTAAAGACCTGTAGAGATATTTGCACCATCAGCTTTACCCCTCCCCCCCCCCATTTGGATCCTTCAAATTTATCATAAAAAGAACCAATCTGGGAATTTTTGGCGGGCCTCTCTACACTGTAGGGAGAAGAGATCAGACAACCCTCCCCCCCGTAATCTTTAGCACCTTGTTTTTATCTGCACTTCGATTCTCAGTGTGGCCGGGTACCGGGCTGCGGCCGGGCGCCTCGGGTGTCCCCACGCTGCCCAGCGGCTCTGCTCCTGGCGGCCGTGTCCACAGTGCAGCCCTGTTGACATTTTTTTCCCCCTGTAGTTTATGGAATTTATAAATCATGTTCTAGCTCACTTTGAGTGTCAAGAAATCACAAAGATATGAGACTGAAATTCTCTTTTGTTTGTTTTCTGAATTCAGTTTCTTGAGTTTTCCATCATTCATGACACTTCCTTTCTGGGTACAGATTATTATCTGAGACAACTACTCCTGGAATCTGTTGCTCATAACAGCTTTAAGATGAAAAACAGAGAAATGCTCCTGTCTGAATCATGTTCCCATTATTTTTGTGTTAGAACAACCGAAGCTCCTGAACTACTGCTATACATGTGCTACATTGGACTAGGAAAACAAAGAACGAGAGACAAGTTTTGACAGCCCGTCACAGGCAGAGTGTATAATATTTAAACTAATTTTTCAAGATCGGTTTTTAGGATCTCCTTGAAAATGTATTTATTAATGATGCTTTGAGCCTTCAGCTAAAGTTATCGTGCAGGTGTTCTATGATGAGGTCCTGGCCCCACCGCACTGGAGGTAAGATGTCTCAGTAATCCTCCCTGTCCTCAGTGGTTTGTCTTGGCAAATATTTTACCCTCTTTATTTCTGAAATGTTAATTAACGAAGAGCCCTTAAATTCCAAACCTTAATTTCTTGTCAGTTAGTTTAACTCTCTTCTGTACTTCAGGCAAGCAGAAGCATCTTCCTGATGGATTAACATGATACAGGCATTGAAGTGGCTCTTCCTAAAGACAGAGGGGGTGCTTTGTATAAAACATTTAAAATCAGACAAGTAAAGAGAAAAACTCAGGTCCTCCCTATTCCAGGCAAGTTCCTGGGCCATGTTCAACTCTTCCAGGCATCTAGCCAAGGCCAGGTACCAGAAAAAAATGTATTATGCTACAAACCAAAGTTTTTTATCTCTGCCTTGGTCTTTCAATACCAACATTCTTTGGTACATTTTGTATTTGCCTACGCTTTGAGGTTCTTGGTATTCCTTTTTTTCTTTACATTTCCATCGGGCACCACTGCCAGGAGTTGCCAATCTTTTTCTATACGGTGACTCAGCTGGGGAAATCCTACGCCTGAAGAGGACTCTAACCAGGCCAGAGACCTGCTGAGGCCTCAAGTACCTCAACTGGTGTTTCTAGGAAGCATCACTGATGTTTTTAAGTGAGAAAAACCTTGGGTTTAAGTGCAAAGTTTTCCTCTAAAAACTGTTTTTTCCCTTTGAGAAGTACTTTGTCTGGGAGACAACTTTGCCCGTCTCCAAAACCAACGCTGACCGAGAAGCGGTCAGCAGAGAGCAGAGCGCCGCCTCGTTCCAGACACTATCCTACTGCTTTCAGAGTCTCCCTGACTTTTGGGAAATACTCCTGCATGAGCAGTGCTCAGAAAAAAGTCAGGGCTGGGTTTTAGGTAACTCAGAGCTACCTGCATCCAGACAGGAAAGCTGCAGCATCCACTACAAAAGGAGTTAAAAAAAAAAATCTGGCTTGAGGGAGCGTTATTTTTACTTGAAACATTTTAAAGTACTACAGAAAGCATATTTGATGTACTTGCTTAGTGCACCATTTGCACATGTTACACCATTTATCTATCTCTTGTTTTTTAAAAAAAACTTACTCTCTTTTTTGGCTTACCAAAATCTTTTTATGCACAGAAGAAATTAAAATAAGGCTAGAGACTGAATGAACACTACCTCTTCCAGAGTGTTTAAAGTTGATTCAAAAACCAGTATCCTTTGGCAGATCAACATGATCCAAATATTTAACAGAAATACTTTGCAACCAAGCTGTAATACTATGCAGTGTTTGGTAACCAGCTGCTGACAGAGTTGCTGCTTCTTCCTCGTCCCAACTTGAAAAGTTAATTATCCAGGCTTGGAGGCCAGTCAACATCAACAGACTAGAAGAGCAAAGGGGGGGAAAAAAAAAAAAAAAAAAAAAGGCAAAAATCAGCAGACTTGGTATTTTACATATATAAAGAGACTTGGTGTCAGAACTCTGTGCTTGTCAGCTACAGGCTAATAGTGGAAAGAAGCAGCAAAACAAGGACACTAAAATAAGAGAGAGGGGACAAGACAAGCAGAAGACGGTGACATGAAACAGCCAGCTCGTTCCAGAGGCTCCGTGTGTGTCTGGAGAGAGCTCCCGGGGAGCTGGGCTTGCTTCATAAACCAGAAGCACAACTCCTCGTGCTCGCCAGCATCATTTGATGTTGGGCTGCATTTACAGAGTCAAGAACTGTTAATTAGTAAACGTGAACCGCCTCCGTCTTCTACCCACCCCACAGATGGGCCAGTATGATGTGAAAACAAACCACGTGCTGATCGATGCCACAGAAATATTCAGGTATTGGGCAGTGCAGTCAAGGATCAAACAGAAAACCATCACCCGTCCCCGAATCTGCCTCCTTGGTAAGGAAAACTAAAAGAGTACGTGTTCAAGCTTTATGTGCAAGAATTATCCAGGCAACATCATTAACAGTCATCCTGACTGTTAGTCAAAAGGGACAGAACATGCCTGACACCTCGTTAGAAGCCAATGTCACAATTACTATAACTTACGTCTTCCCTGGCCTCCCTGAGGCCACATCTCCAGTTCCCTTGGGGCATAAACTTGTTGCTCCCCCTCTTCCAAAAGCAGCACACCCTACCCTGCTGCCGTATCACCATTTGCAATCACCCCACCGGGATCGCCACACAGCACGTGAAATGCCTGGCCTTCAAGCCTGCCTCCATTAATCATACCTACTCCTGGCCTAATCTACAACTTCATCAAAGGCTTAGGCTCTTAGGCTGAGCTAGAACGCAGTGTTAGCAAGATGACTAATTATTTTCAAGTCCCTAGCCATCTTTCATCGTTACGGCCTATCTGTATGAGAGCGATGCTTATCAGCCCGAGCCCCAGGTCAGGTGTTCCTGCTGTCAGAAGTAACTGAAGTGCCCTCTGCAAGCTCGCTTTCTGTATTGTCCTACAAAAGATACACAAAAAACTGCCAGGCTGTTCTGCAAAAGGTAACACGTGGGCAGCTTTCCCGAAATACATCAGAACAAGAATGCTGATCATTGGCTGCTTGAAATGAAAAAACCTGTGTTTTAAGGAAACGTTGCCAAACCACTAGGTTAAATATTAAATCCGTATCTCTACATACATTCTTTTAACCAAAACAAATTTGTTTTTTTTCATCTGACTCCAGCAAGTGAACAGATAGAGTTTCTTGCCATGTTTGAACTGGCATTGAAAGAGGAAGTCAAATCTCTCCTATTTTTCATCCAACCCTGTTTTGAAAAGCAGTGATGTGGTACATGTAACATTGCTAAACTCCATGCCAGCGGGTGCTAATAATGACTGTCATCAATTCATGGGACGTCCTCCCATCCCTCCCCAACATGAATTCAGCAGAGGAAGCCTGTCACAAGTGGCAGCATGGTACAAACCACTATTTTTGCAATAACATTACTTTTTTCTATTAACTGTGGTAAGGTATGTTGATTCAGTTAGAGCAATTCCACTGAAAGCATCTCACAAATGTAACTGCGTTACTCATTTCTAGGCAGGATAAATATCAGGTAACTTACTTCTACATCCAACTCCAGAATGTCGGCGGTTCTGTTCAGCAGGGAGCCAATATTGGGCTTTGTTCTTCCAAAGTCTCCATGCACAAATTCTTTAATGTAGCTAGAAACACTGGCTAAGGAAAGGTGTATTTTACCACAAAGAGATCAAAAGGAAAAAAAAATATGGTGAAAAATGCTCAAAGCAAAAATAGCGTCTTTTCCTACTCCTAAGCCAGTTTGCAGTGAACGTCCTGTTAAGCCCATTCCCGTTTTTAAAAGACTTCCCAGTTCTTGGCTTCTGACTCTAATGCCAAAAACTGGACCATTGACCTGTATTTTCTGTTTTATTCCAAGTGAGCAGAGACTTTATGACAAAGCTGTTACTTGAAAGTAGCAGCAATCTACAGTCTGCACTGCAGTGCATTAAATACTGCAGAAAAGCTTATTTCCTAAGGTGAAAAGCTTTCAGTTAAAGTAGAAAAAGCTTAAGTGTATCTTTAACTAGTACATTTTTATAGCTATCACAAACTTTAAAACTATCAGAGTGGTCATCACAATAATATACACACCTGAGTATCATTTCTGAATGAAAGCCTGAATGTGAAATTCTGACATCGAAGCAAACATTATGCAGCAACACATACCTGCTGAAGAGCAGGGATTTAGAAACACCCCAGCGAGAAAAGCAGGAAACTTGCCATTACCCGAATTGCTCTAATCAGCAAGCTGTTTCGTAAATGCGTTGTGTAACAGCATCTAAGGATACGTTCCTGCTTGAGTCTTCAGATGCAGGCGAAAATGATGCTCATCTATGTACTCAGATTTCATGGTGTGAATGATCCGGCATCTTACGGCTAGAGGCCTTCTGTGCAGGACCCGGAGAGGTGTCTTCTGGTCAAGTTTTAATTCCTGTTACAAGCGGTAACAAACAAAATGAGGAAGGAAACGTGCAACATACTGCACAGATTAGAGAGTCATGTGCATTGTTAACCAATCACATCTTTTTTATATTGTATTATGGTAGTTGAGTAATCATCTTGAGGCGAGGCTCATTTTTTCCATGTTTATCAGAGGGAAAAAGGACAGCCATCTCAAAGACTAAATGAGAAGGCCTCCTATGACCACACACTAATGGAATCACAAATACAGAAGAATAACCTTGAAATCTCCATAGTCCTTTGCTGGAATGACTCCAGGATTTAGAAGCTTACTGAGAGCCTCAAGGCAATCAAAAGAAAAATAAAAATCCCACCCACAAAATGCTTTGTCTAAACTACAGCCAACCCCCTAGAAATAAAAGTGAGGGAAAAAAACCCCGAAATGAGATTAGATCTCCTAACAGTCTTTTAAAAAAGTTAATTCCCCACCCCCCTCCCCAAATGAGATGCAGCAGTCTGAAAGGCAAATTTTCAGGAAGTGAGTGGGCATGCTAAAAACCAAAAAGCTTCACAACAGCTGTCTCCCTGAACTGTAATGGCTCAGGCCCTGGCTGTGAGAATGAGTTCATGGCCAAGGCTCGTAGGAAATAGGGCAACACAGCAAAACCGGGACACGCTTCTCTGTCAGCAGCATCTCCCTGACCAACAGTTGGAGAAAGTTCTTGTTAGCCCGAGCACTCGGTCAGGCCTCTTCGCGTGACTTTCCACAGACATTTCAAACTCCTCATTGCTGCAGCTGTGGAGGAACGGCTTTAGAGCTGGCAGAACAGAAGACCTCCTCCGCTCCTTTCACTCACCCAAAACACTAGCTAAGGTAAAGAAAAAGGCGCAGGTGCCAGATTTCCTCCTCTCCTATTCCCCACACTTTTTATTATTGGGTTCTACTGGAAGGTCAACCTCATACAATAATTTGTTGTCTTGGCTAACAGCCAGCCAGCCATATGGCTAGGATGACAATGGTGAAGCAAGGAAAGGTGAGAAGTGGGAAGGGACGTATGAAAGTCCCTATATACAGCAGGAGAAACCCTGACAACAACAACAAAAAACCAAACAAAAATGAAAAACCAAAAAACCAAACCCAGGGCAAGAGATATGTCCATGGGTGCACGTTTATAAACCCTCCCCTCAGGGCACCAGGACAGATACTATATAAATTAGCAAAAGAGAGCTACAGATACCTTGATATCATCCAGAAATGCAATGTCTTCTTTCTGTATTGCTTTGTCTGTCCAAATTAAGGCACTATAGGTCTTTGTTTTTTCCTCTTCACCTTCCTTCATACGACCAATTGCCTCTCTAAACAAAAGAAATTAATTACTCACATACCATAAGCATAATTATATAACGCTGTGAGCAAGAATGCTTGCAAAACTCCCAAAGCATCACTTTGAAATCCCTTGCCAGCGATGATAAATACTGACCTGGTGACAAGCTGTAAATCTCGAACCTGTATTTTGTCTGAAGAGTTATTAATTGTCTGTGACATTTAAAAAAGAATCAGTTAGCAAAACTGCTCAGTTAGAGAAGAAACACATGCTTTATGAGTTCCGTGAGGTGCAAATGATTTACCTGCTGAAGTCCCTTCATTTTCTCAGCAGTAAAATGTATTCTACGAGGATTCACAAGCTCAATTGCAAAGGGCCTTCCTGGCAACATGCACAGTCATAAAACATAAAAACATGTTGTTCTAAATTAACATTTGAATTTATGCAGTAAGGTTGGAAGGTGTGAAGATTGTCTGCTGTTATGCAAACAGGGATAGGACTTGCAGGTTTAGGGATGTAGCATCAGATGGAAGGAAAGAAACAAGGGACTTTTTTTGGCTACTAAACCCCAGTATCAGCAATAAGTGCAAATTACGACTTCCCAGAAGACATCTTGTACAAGTCTGTGCTAATTAAAAAATAAAATAAGAAAAAAAGTTAATTAGCTTATTTTCTGTCACCTACAGCAATGCCCAGGTGCAAGATGATGTTAAATCCCTCTCCCTCAGCTAAACATCTGTTGCAATAGCTGCACTTTCTGTGCTCAGGGCCAGGGATGATCCCCAGTATAAGCAATGCCAAGAACTACGCTACGAATCAGACAGCAACTGAAACACATCACTGTTAATTTTTACTTTTGCTTTCCCCTCCTCCTTCAGCTATAGTGGCTCCAGCATGTTGGAAAGCTAATGACCTCTATAAATGACCCAAGTTCAAAAAGAAAATAAGGCCTCCCCACTCCCCAGTGACAGTAAGGCAAAGTAGAAGGACCCAACAGAAAACAAGATAGGAATCAGTCTGACATAAATGGCTTAAAAATAGTGAAAAAAAAAATAATACTCCTAACAAGCTAGGTACTTCCATGCATCTGTGGAGCCAAGGACACCGAAAAAGGTCTCTTCTTTCAGTTGGTTTTACAAAACTGTTCCATCTTTGGGAATAAATACATAAATATCACTAAAATGTTTCTAAGATAAAATTTCAAAGCATGCCTAGTCACACACTTATGCACTTAGCATTCGGCACGATCTATTAGGGTAGCTCCGGTTAACCATTTTGCTTCTTTCTGTGCTTCACAAGGGATGTTCCAAGCCTTACCATTGCCTAGTGTTCTTACATCCACATCTTCTCTTCCAGAGGAAGAAAAATTAAAGCCTATAACAGATTTGAACAAGGCAGGTGAGATTTTATTTTACATTTTTAAAAGGTGAAATATTTTCTTTCTAAACTTGTTTGCAAATCTACTTCAAAGAGCTATCTTTATAAATTGAGCCTGAACAAATCTGGGATAGTTACTGTTTATGGCATCAGATTCACAAGTTTCTTGATGAGCACCCCTAGTTCCTTGGCCTGAATGAGACTGCTACAACCCTGAAAATGTCTGAAAAAAAAAAAGCGGTAGCATCCCAAAGGAATACTAATTCATTTTGTTTGTTTCTTATGCAGATAATTCAAGTTTATGAATAAAATCAAACTGAGCCGTCTTCCTCCAAAACACTTTTTACCCTAAATACACCCAGTGGTTTCCAAAGACATCAGAGAAATTTCCGCTAGTCACAAACATTTGGACAAAAAAGGAAGAAAATTCACATCCGAGCTGAAAAGTAACCTCTGTGTATTTATTTTTTTCATCTTTCAAGCTACAAAAATGTACTGTGGGGTATTTAGTTTCCTTCATCATACCCCTTCCACCTTCAAGCTTTGTCTGAAGGAGGAATGGGGGACCAAACCCTGCTCTAGAAGTAACTTTGCAGCTCTATTCCAAAGGGTCTCTGAAAAACTGATGGTTTCTAAATTTTTTCCTCTATAGGGAACAAACAGAGCATACAAAGATTTCCTGGGCTTTTATTTCTCATTTCTCTGGTTATTATTATGGCAACTACATAACAGTGAGAAAATCCTTCCATGGTCATGAAGGTGTATTTTGGTCACACTACCAGAATTTTCTTAGTTGGGAATGCTCCAGACCCTTAATCATCTTCACAGCCCTTTGCTGGACTCGCTTCGGTATGTCCACATCTTTCTCGTACTGGGGAGCCCAGAACTGGACCCAGTGCTCCAGACAGGTCTCCCCCCGTGCGGAGTAAAAGGCAAGGACCACCCCGCCTTGACCCACTGGCAATGATCTTTCTGTTAGTTTATAGCTCTCAACCTCACTGCACATGTGCTTCCGGCAGCCCCCGGTGGAAACTGAAATCTGGTGTTACGTATTACGGGGCCTGAAGACACCGTTTGAGGATTTTCCTACTGTTCAGACTAACATATCCACTGGAAGGAGGGAGGAAAGGAGAGGAAAGTAGCTGTTTTTTCAAAACTAATATTTAAGGCAATTTTTCCTTGGGCCTTCTATGTCTCTAATTCCATGTCTAGCAGATGACAAATGATGGGTAGTGATTATTTCATGTGGATAATCCCTGGATGAGCATTTAGCTTGTGGAACCTTATGCACTGAAGAAAATAAATTAATCAAGGTGAGAAACGCGAAGGGGTCGAAAGCTAGGCAGATATTATGAAGATACTGTATATTATATTATTATAACATAATATACAATATTACAGATACTATGGCAAAAACCTTCTCATTACAAGTCATTTTATGAATTACCAACCATTAAGAAGTATGGCTAGGCAAAAATACTACCACGTATATAGAGCCATAATATTTGCATCATCAGATCAGCTGAGGAGGTAGTTTAGTACAATAAGACACTGCATAAAACAAAGCAGTCATCTATTTACTCACATATAGAAAAAGTTGACAACCTGTGACTTGAAGGACAAGAGAAGGATAAAGAAACACAGGGTTTTTTCCATTACATTCTTGTATTGAGCAGCTACTAAGAAAAAATATTCTAATAATGATGAAAAATAGATATGGTATAAGATCTCCTAGATACTTACTATCTGCTTTGAATTCTGCCATTAGATGCTCTGAAATCAGTTCTTCCACTGAAGATTCCAGCTTCCGCTCGCCATCAATAATCCAGGGAGTCTGAGGTAAATTCCTTGAATATTTGTTATATCTTCCTGTAAAAAACAACTGTTACCTGTAATCATTCTAAAGCAATGGACAAAAGCTCCACTATCACACAGCACAACACATTTAAATTTCATCCTAGCCTTGTGAAAATCAATTTACAGGCTTAAACTTGTTTTATGGCAAGAGCATGACAGCAGCAGTACAAACTGCGTGCTGCTGCACCCGCAAGAGTTTCAGTATCCAAGACGGCCAGCTCAGAGGTAGACTTGGAGAGCCTATTGCTGCAGTCAGCTTTAACCTTCAGGTATGTATCTTCAGGTATAACCACAAAAACAAAACTGTATGTAGCCTGCCACAACTGGGAATAAAACCCAGAGGTTCGACTGCCTAGCCCGAGTCAACTTAATTCTGAATGGAAATAATTCTTTTTTATTTTTTTTTTGGCAATTGGAGCATGGTCTTGAACCAGCCTCCCGCACACTGAACTAGTGCTATACATATGCCTGTCCACCAATGCATATGTGCCCCAAGTAAAGACGTTCCCACACCCTCCTGTATCAAGTAGTTGAGGTTTCAATCCAAGATCTGCCACTGTCTGTATGTTTAACAAAAGAAACCCAAACTAAAATGCCTTGGCTCATTACAAGGAAAACCACAGCAGCAAAATGTCTCAATTAATGAACTAGTACAAATTTCAAGAACCTTGAAAAGTTGCCACGTAAAGAGGTTGCCATCCTCTGACTGATTCCAGTCATAGTCTCATGCTGTATCACACTAGCACGCCATCTCCCCTGACACAAGGACTGCTATAACCAAAGAACAAGTCTGACATGGGTGACCAAGATGAACCTTCTTATTGACAGGTTTTAGAAGAAGTGAAAATATGCACAAAACAAGGAACTCACTCATAAAGAACAATGATTAACCCTCCTGCACAAACAACTTTCAATCTGAAACCTTGCATATAGAAAATTGAAGAGAGTTCAGAGCAGCTATGCATATTATATCGTGCCTCTGTCATCTCAATTTTTTGGGTTTTCAGTATCATATTTTCCTATTTCTAACAATGTTTCCTTCTTGCATTTTGATCTGAAGAAAAACCCACACAAACAAATGGGCAAACTGACTAATACTGTTTCACTGGGGCAAATAATGAAAGTACTATGACTAATCATTCAGAAGTCTGCTTCACACTGCTAAATTCTCTTTCCATAAAATGGAAGAAGGAAAACAATATTCTTTTTTTCTCTAATCTCCCCATTCTAATACTTTTAGCTTTTGATCTGAACAAAAGTGGGTTAAAAAAAACAGAAGGTGTTTCTCAGTTTGACAGCTTCTCCTGAACCCTTAAAAAAAAGTTGGGTGGGAAGTGATCACTAAACACCAAAGATCAGGTCAGGAGGGCGATACCAACTCTGAAACTGTGCTTACAAATTATGATCCAGTCTCATTTAATAATAGCAAAATAACTGCACTGTACTCAATAAATTCTATTCTGGATTTAATTCTTAAAAAGTTAAACACAACATCCTGCCTATTTTTTTTTTTTGTTTGTTTGTTGGAGCAAGCTATAAACTATAAATCACAAAACGAGTATTAAATCACATGCAGAATGCTCTCTCCATACAGATGAATTCTGATAAAACCATGCAACAAAGCAATGCAATATAAAACAGTGTGTTTGGAAAAGGCTAAAAGACACTGGATATCTTGGATTCCTGAAAATGTACATCTAACTGTCTGATCAGTAATTAAAAATAAGAAACAGGTATGTATAGAGCATCAAGTACCCTGCCATGAGACCATCATTCACTTTTGCATTTTTTCTTTTCATTTTACATTTGCCTTTATTCAGGATTTGTACCATCCTTTTCAATATAGTATGCTGGATTTAAATTGCAGGGTTTGTTGGTTGGGGTTTTTGTTTGTTTGGTTTTGGTTTTTTAAATAATCTGTTTGCATATATTTAAATAAGTGGTTGTTTATACACAGGACTGGGGGAAGGGTAGATACTCTTGCAGGCAGGTGATAAAAAGGTTGAATTATCTAAACTCAGGGACACCAAGTGCTGTTGCATTACTCATCTCACCCAGTTATTTCAGATGTTATCTTGGCTTGGAAGGGCGAGCTGGAAAGAGCCAAGCTTTCCAGAATTTAACCTTTATTAATCCCATTAAAATTGGCAGGTTTGGATAGAACAATATGCAGATAAATCCAGATGGTGAAAACCTCTGAATCCAAATAAAAATCCAAGCAAGTGAACACCACTGCTCAGAGCTTATTTAGTGGGGAATTGCCTTTCCCAAACCATGTGCTTATTATGAGGAGACATATTACAACTCCAAGATTTGCAGGGACAAAGGTTTTCCAAAGGAGAAAGCAAGCTTTAACAACAGGGCAAAATTCTTGGTTTCAGAAACTGCTTCTGGATAAGCCCCCCTTAATGAATAGGGGCACGAAGAAAGTTGCTTTAAATCTTCACATCACCCTGTGCTGTCTCTAGAAGAAAGAACTCTTCCGTCTCTCAAAGCAAAAGAAAAACAATGGCAAGGAAAAGCAGGATCTTCCTCAATACCCAGTGGAACTGACATGCTCCCCTCCTGCAGCTCCTCGCATGGGAACCTTACCTTGGCCCTGATACAGCTGCCTGCAGCTCCCACTCCTCTCCAACCATCGTCCACCACATGCTATCTCCAAGTTTAAATTCACAGTGTAAGAGCAGGCAAATGGTTTTGATTTCAGCATGTTGATCCATAATTTCTAACTTTTGACACAATCACATCTTCAGCAAAGGCAAGTATAATTTCTTCCCCTTTCAATCAAGACCTCACATGGATAGAACTAGATTTGTTTCTTTGCTCCTTACACTTAATTACAGGAATCAACAAATAGCAGGAATCTTCTGGGTCTCGTGGCAGGACTATAAAGTTATGTTTGAGACAACACAGCAGCAAATAAATGGATCACTTTACCAGCCACAAAAACTGCACCATTATTGCACTGAATTTCCAGAGCAACGCAGAGGTTCTTTGGTGAACTTGGGGGACATGGAAAATGCCTGTATAAAAAAAGATGTAAAAGTACTAGTAATACCAGAATATGATAGACCATCACCATAGCAATAATGGCATGAAAGATGGCAACTTCAGATACACAAAACACAGCTGAGGTATAAACTCAGTATTCATATTTAAAGCTGGAACACCAAGAAATGGATGAACATTAAGCAAATCGAGAACACCGCATTGCAAATACTTTTGTCGATCTGTCATTGAACGTTATTGAAGGATGACATTCCAAAGTTTGCTAATAAGATGTACCATACATAAGCTATAGCAATAATGACAGTAAATACTGCATAAAAACTATCTTCAGGATCTATTACTAAATCTTTGCTGGGAATCAAAGAAAAGACCTTCAAAGATTTAATGAAATTAAGCACAGTGAACTACAGAGAAAGTGTCCACTGATGTCTTCCCACAGCTTGTGATTTTTACCATATTACAGCACTCAGTATTTTCTTAAAACTCTACTCCTAACATTTTGGAAATATGGGAAAAAGTCTTTCTTGTAAAGAGAAGCTTGCCTTACAAACTCTAAGGTTCAAAATACAGAAGGAAGTTCCATGATTTCTAAATCTCTTCTGTGGTTTTGGGGATGTACATAAAGATTTTTGAATGCAAATGACTGGCGATACTACAACAAGCTGTTTTCACTTCTAACTATTCTAAATCCCATGCCAGCCCAGAAACCTGCAGTGACGTACTGCCGAAAGCACAGAGCAGAACTGCAGCGCTCTGGCCCACAGTTTCTCCTCTGTGCTGCTCCTGAGATAATCGACCAAGGAAGCAGTTTTACTAATGGGAAAAAGGCCATCATCTGTGGCCTGTCCAGTTTTCCATCTTCTGTGGCTTAACTCCAGCATTTTAAGATTACTCCTTAATTAAAAGATCTGGAATTACATTCTGTTACTAGAAGAACAGAAAACACAACGCATTTTAACCAGTAAACTAGCAGAATTTAAACCATTAGAAGTTCTTTTATAGACGTCTTACCACTACTTACCCACCTAATATTTTTCTCCCCATCCAAATTCTATACAAAAGTACAATACTAAGAACCAGTTTCAGCATATACTTACTTGAGAAAATCCTCTTCTTTTATCTTCTCTAGGGCTTTTATAACTGCCATTCTAGTGAAAACAGTCTGCACAGTGAAATAAAAAAAGAGTCAAGAACTAAGAGAAGTGAAGAAGGGATATGCCCAAGGAAGAAAAAAACCTCTGAAACAAACACACTGTACACTTCTCACCATATAGTTTTTTCACTTGTGTTTTGTGTTTTCTTATACCTAAAAGAAACTGTTTCAGCAAGAACTCACTGTGACCTTAACCCTAACTTTAAAAGGGCAACAAAGAACAACAGGTAATTTTGCCAAAATCTGTTCAAGTAACTTTACTGACAACATGAAAGTAATACAGCTAATACAGCTGACAGATTGGAATATAAGTTATTTTGTCATAGAACTAAGATTTGCCCCTTTGTTTCTAGAAGACACGTACAAACAGTAGTATATGCTTCCTCACTCTGTTTTTACACAGCAGAAAAATAACAAGTGCCACTGCCTTTCAGCAAGTCTAAAGTTACTGTCACATTTCCAAATAAATCTACTCCAACTCCTTAGAATATTTAATTGCTAAGCCTGCCCTTTGGTTAGCTAAAAGAAATGCTAAGCATATCTCTGGAAACTATCTTATTTCAGATGATATACAAAAGTGTGCAAACATGAGAATCAAAAAATTTCAGGTCCAAATTGGCAAAACAGTTTAAAACCAGAATCCTAAATCCATGAACAGAAATCTAAACCAGCTTCCCCATTTTCAAGACTTAGGTATAGCTAAGCCCCAGCTTTTATCTCAGTGACAGCAGACAGCTAGTTCTTCTGAAAGTAAGACTGTTGAGTAGGTATCTGTTTATAAAGCTCAGAAGTTCATTCATACTCAGAAGCTGAAGAAGTCCAGGTTCCTCAGCCTCTCTGCCTAGGGCATACGCTCTAGCCCCCTGACTGTCTTGATGGCCATCTGCTGAATTCCCAATTTAATGTTGTCTTTTTTGCAAACTGAATTTGGGGAAAAAAAAAATGAAAAATACTGGGTCACCATTTGGGACCATTCAAATCTTTGCTCTAACAGAGTTCCCAGATGCTTTCGGGAAAGCTGCTCTTTCTCCTTCTAAGCATAAATTAGAGATAATAGCACTTCCCTTCCTCATAGAACAGAAGAACTAGAAAACCCTTAAACTAGCAGCAGCTTTGAATAACTATCTGCAGCAGATCACAGAAATTTTCACTCCGAACCCAGTTTTCATACTATTTCTCTGATTAAGCTAGCTTCAAGCACAGCATCTTTATAAGGCTGAACCTCTGATGGTTCTTCATAGTCGGTATTTTTTCCTTTAGATTCCCCTACATCTTGTTGCCTGTGTGGTTTTAACAGCCAGGCCCTGCTGGTTTAGCTCCTTATGTGGGATTTCCCCCCTTTTAAAGGAAAGCAATGCAGCAAGCAGTGAGTTATAACAATACAAACCTTCTAAAAAAAGACTTGCATTTATTGGTCAGGTGGAGTAGAGTAGGCAGAATTCCAGGGTCAGACTGCTTCTGCCAAATGTCGGTAGACTCTACACCAGAAAGCATAAAAGGCCTTGCATAGGCTTCTGATAGAAGTTACTTGTTCTCCCTCTGATCACACCAACTGTCCCACTTATATCAGTTTCTCTCCAACTGTTTTTTTATTCTTACATGTCCTCTTTTTTGTCAATGATTGTGTGCGTGCTCAGGGTCTGCAACAAGTGGCAAGGTCCCTTTTCTTTCCTCCCCTCCTCCAGAGGTAGACAGGATAAAACCATCCTGCATGTATCGTGTCTTTCATTCAGATCAGAGGACATGAAAACTGCAGTGTGATCATTTCTCTTTTGGCTGCAGAGTCTCATCTTCACAATGTGACTTATCTGAACTGCTTCACCCACAGAGAGCTTGAGGATCATCTTTTATGCTACTTTTAATGCATGACAATCAAATTCCGAGATCTTAAGGGAGGTATTTAGAGAGCATTCCTAAAATTATGGCCTTTAGACAGTCTGGAAAATGAATGACCTAAAGAAAAGCACCAAGCTCTTAGTTTTCCTAAGCAGAGAAATGGTAAGTGAATAAAGGAGACAACTTTATTTTCAGACAATTGAAAACTAGAGAGATTTTTGATGAAGGAAAACCAGACATTAAACATTGACTGAATACCCAGATAAGTTCTTCATTGTAGCTACTGCTGTGAAATTCTGAATGTCAGAAAAGAAATACAAAAACGATGAGATCCTACCTGTTTGTTCTTGGCTGGTTTGAAACAGTCTGGACAGGCTGTGGCTCTAAATACAGAAATGAAAATTAGCTGTTACTCTTACAGAAAAAGAAATGAACAAACAGACTTGTAAGCATAGCATGTACACAGTCTCTGTACCAATATGCCAAGTATTTAAATTCCACAGCTTAGCACAGAGCAGATTTTAAAATTAACTTTATCCTAAACCACAAGTGGCGGAAGGTGTGCACTGCTTGATCTGGAGAGAAATCATGGACATAGCTGCGTAAGCCTCTTCTGCTCTGACCAACACAAATGTGTCTCAGCTTTCAGATGGGATGGAAAAGCACGCAACAAGTTTAGCTTTGTCCTTTCCAATCCTTCTCAATAAAGGTCATGATTAATGTTGAAATTCTGTGCCAGGTTTGCTGACATCTTGAAATCTGTACTTGCTGTTCTTAGACAATGCACACTACAAACCAGAGGTTCAAATTGCTGCTTCTGGATAGGAAAATTCAATTTGCTACAGAAAAAGTAACCCCAGGTGTTCAACACCATTTGTTCTTTGCCTCTTCAAAAGGAAACTATTGGTTGTTTCACGAAAGTGAAAGCCAAGTCAGTGAAACAGTTTTTCTGAGTACTGTAGAGGAAGTTGCTGTTCCTATTAGCAGATTTCTATGTACGCAGTTAGAGATTATTTCTAGCCTACAACACAATTTATCATTTCTTGCTGGTGCTTTTCAACTCCTCTGCAACTACTTGAGTCTATAAGGAAGCAGGTCTGACCTCTTGCTGTTTCTATACAAGCAAGTTGCTTGGCCAGTTTGTGACACAAAGCATCGCAAATTCTCTCTTCCAGGATTTCAATATCACCTTACTGTTAAACATGAATTTCCAAGTATAAACTAACAAGAGCCAATTCAAACTTCCATGTCAAACCAAGGGTCATTTTAGCACACCTACCTACACATAACTGTGTAAGAAAAGCTTGAGAGATGTGAAATTGCAGATGCCATACTTGGAAATCCCACAGAAAAGCATACCTGGAGGACTTCTCCAGGTTGAGACAAGGTCCTACTTTGCTTCCACGAAAAACATGACTGTCATCAGTAAAGCTGTGACAATTGTCAAATTTACCATACTTACATAGAAACCAAACCATTGCCTCAGAATACACCCAGAGCCAGCCATTCACATATGCAAAACACCCCAATGCCTGAGAAACTACCATGTAATTACGTTCAGTAATATGCTGTTACTTCAGAAAAAAGTCTAAAACCTTAATTGCTATTTAAGTATGCTACAAAGAAAAGGACAATAAAGGGATATTGTCAGGCCACATGGAATAAACCTGGGTTTTTAGAACGTGGACTGGAACTTCTTTACAGCTTTCATCTGTACAACTATTCCACTTGGAGCGCTAACACTGGCACCATAACATGCTTGACATCAATATTTTTAAGTGTCACAAAAAGGATGGAAGGATGAGCTGAAAGTAAGAGCTGAGAGGTTTCAGAGGAAGGAAGAACACTACAGAAAACAAGAACAGATCAAGTAAAATTATATAAATAAGAACAAAAGGGTACAGGATCCAGAAATACCTGAGTTTTTTTACAGGATTGCAGTTATTATTTAGAACTGTAGTTTGGCCCTGCCACTTTCTCACCCTTTTGCCCAGTCTTGAAGAAGCTGGAAAGGGAAGATGTTCAGCAAACACTTGTAACGCATTCTTCCTAATACCTGGTCTGTCACCAAGGATGCATTCCCTCATTCCCCACCCGCAGACAAATGAAAGACACAGTTGTTGAAAACCAAGAAGGTGGCAGATTGGGCATTCAAAGACCACAAATTGCCAGAAGGGGTAAAATCAGGGAAATATATAAAGGCTGCAAAGGAAATCTCTAGTCTCAAGAGATGAATTCACTATGCAACAGAGAAGTCTATGCCAAACCTCTTTCTACACCAGGATTTAACTTGCAGTAGGAGCACGAGTGACAAAACTGAGTGAAACTTAATTTTTCCAAGAAGCATCAGCAAACAGGAAGAGTAAACCTAATTATCCAGAATATACTAGAGCTAGATTTTGAGAAATCAGAATAAATGGCAGCTATAATTCACAGAAATATTTTGTTTCTTTGTGTATAGCAGGCAACCTACTGGGCCAGGCTAAAAACTATGTGTAGTGGCCAGGGAACTTCTGTTTGTTTTAATCAACTAGCTAAATTGGGTTAACTCACTTTAAAGCCTTCCCTCCCATCCATGTCTCCTATAAGAGCACGACCCCAAAAGATTCCCCCACCTGCAACTACATGGTTTGAATTTCTCTTTTAAAGTGATACAGCTATATTGAAGAGGGTAATGACTTTGAAAAGGGCTGAAATTGAACAACTTATCTGAAAGTTCTCCTTCCAGTGCAAACCAAAATTCTGGATCATTTTGTTTATTAGCTTTTAAGCACAGAATTAACCAGAGATGGTGTAACTTTAATCTCTGCAACTCTATCTGAATATGAGGAAGTTTAGATGCAGGCCCCATTCTAGTTTATAAACATTGCATATTCTCATCTGTAGCAAATCCAAACCAACAACATTGCACAATATTTAGATAAAGATCTTTTGTTATTTATATAAAAACTTACAGGAAATGGCACTCTTCATCTGTTTCTGGGTGAGCAAAGACCACGCTAACTTCAAACAAACTCTACATTAAAAAAAGAAAAAAAAAGAAGGTGGTAATAGTTTTAGAAACAAACAGGGATGATATTCTCAAGCGTCTTTATTGTAGTATTAGGAAAACAGTAAAGAGGTAGACAACAGAGAAAGTAACCCATTTATTCTATGACATCATCTAAAACCATTAAAACGTGTGTCATAACAGCATCTGCATTTCTGAATTAACCAAAGATTATCTGAGAACACTTCAAAAACATGAGTGACCTACACATCATAGATACCGGCCCCATTTTGCACAGGGGGCACTGAGTCAGAGACAGTGTATGCTCAAAGCCTATTACGGTCACTAAACTTCACAAACCTTCTGGGAGAGCAGCGCATAGTGTGGCATAAAGATAAAAACCCTGAGTAGTCACCACTGTAAAATTTTGTCAGGGGCTTTGTTTGCAATGACTGGATGGCCTTGGGGCAAAGAAAGGCAACATGTCCTAGTGGATTGACAGCTAGACCAGAAACTCTAGTGTAATCTCAATTCTACCCCCAATTCCCTCTTTGGCCTTGGGCAAACAACACTCATTACTTCTGTTATTCAGATACCAGAATGCCTCAAGAGGGCTATTGAAAAGATTGGCTAATATTCAAGTGCCTTGTAGATAAAGAGCACTAGACAAGTAACTTTTATGGTACAGTGATGTCTGGAGTGGCTCGGTGCCTAAGTGTTGCAGAGCTCTTGCTAACTTGGCATGTAAGAAGTTTGTTTCTTCTTGGGTCATCTTCAGGGTAACTGAGTGTTTCTTTCTTCACTAAGACAAAAAGGACGCTTTCAATTAGCACTCCAGGGAAAAGACAATCTATAATTATTATGGAAGCTGATAGATCAACGTAAAGACTGAGTAAGTCTAGTCCTGGGGTCAGTCCTATGGCTGATGACAAGGGAAAACTGCAGACTGCCTTATCCTCAGCAGGAATTTTATCCATATTTGCAGAAATTTTACCTCCAAGATGATGGTGTTTCTGAACTTGTCTGGCAACACCTGAATGTCATGTTCAGTCAATGCATTTCAGAAACATTTTAAGAGTGTTAGTCAGAATGTGAAAGTTGAAAACAGGGTTTGAAAAAATATTTCTATTGCCTACTTACAGGTATTGCAGGTTCCAACGTGCCTATCTCTAGCACTCATTAAAGTGAACAAGGACCAGTCTTTCCTCTTTCAGTATGTTTCACAAATATATTTTATCCATAGAATTTAACATGCTAACAACCTGAACAATTTATTTCACAGAGCAGTAACAGTGCCGGCAGTAACAGGAAAACAAAGAAGGAATGTGTGATTATTCCTTAGCCCCTGGAAAACAGAGATCCCAGAAAACAAGAAAACTGAAAAGGTCTCATTGACAAAAGGAGGCAGGCAGCCCAAGAGCAAGAGATGTAGCAAAGGTAACTTGATTAATGGTTAGGAAAAAATACTTTTTTCCCCTTCATATATAGAAGTGTATAAATAAATATATATGCATACACACACAAACATAAGAAAACAAAACAAAACCCAGACAGAGAGAAAGAAGTTTCTTATTTATACAACACCTTTCCATCAGCAGGAACACCCAACTCTTCTGACAATTGGGGGTGAATAATCCACTTATAAGCTTCTTTCAGCTGAACAATGTCATCCTTTGCCAAGGAAAGGCCCAGATTTCTGAATCACAAAGAAATAATAACTTGCACAGGGGTCTGACAGATAGATACATGATATACAATATTTCAAGACAAACTTAAGTAACTAGTGCCAGGTAAACAAACAATGCACTAATAAAAAAGGACAAAAGTACTAACCATACAGACCATGGCATGAAAGAATGAAAGGCTGTTCCAAGACCTATAACAGCACTGAATCTTGTATTGAATTAACAAACGAAGTGTTGAGGAAACATGAAGGCCAGGATTCCAAGTAAAATGCTTCCCAATAAACACATAAAAGTTTGGCAGGGAGTAGCTAAAGGTGTAGCTACTTGAGCTAGTTAGCTCAAGCACAGGTAGGACTTGGTTGCCTCCTCCCGACCCCTGGCCATTCATTCCTGCCAACACTTGCATGCTGACACTGCACAGCATGGTGAAGTAATACCACTCCGTTGATTCCATTTAAAGCAAACCTCAATCCACCAAAAAAGGTTTTGTTTTTCAGGCAGATCAGTGAGATGACCAACTCTCCCAGTGGTCACATAAGCACTTATGTTAACACAGGAAAGACAGAAGGTACATGCAAGGCAGAAGCAAGATCCTTCTGACAGTAAATCAACATCTAGTTCAGCTTAAGTAAACTGAGTATCTGGATCCTGCAGGGCAGCACCTGTGCTACTTGCTAAGGAGCCTCCTGTCCAGCTTCCACCCGAAGTAATATCCTGGTTTGCCCTGTTTCTGTTTGCCAGTCTTTTTTTCTCTAACATTTAAATACAGATTCTCCTTTTTTAATGTGTAAAAGAACATGGACTGAGGAAACTCATGCCATAGCTTCATGGCAGATCAAAAGTTGAAAAAGTCTTTCCAGAGTCTACCTGGAGAAGAGCTGAGAAAGAGTGATGCACAAAAATTGTTTGTTTAAAAAAGAATAAATCTTGTTAGACTTATTTTTATTGTTTAAAGGCAATCTAGTCCTTCAGTGAAGGAGGGCATGACTCCAATGGGCACAAATTCCCAAAGGGAAAAGCCCAGATGACAGTCTCATTTGACCTTGCTGGGACAGGCTCAACTACCTCTGCAGGTACAAGACCAGGCCTCGACTCCTGTGTCTTTGCCTATGGAGAGAGAAGTTAAACGGAGCAGATGCCTGTAAGGATGCCAGCATATGATTTCAAACCACTTGTCTGGGAACTTAGAGAGCAAAGAGCATGTTCTCCTATACAAATGGCACCAGCAGTAGGCTGTGTGGGCAATATTTGCCCTACAGGGCCTCATCCTCTCTCAAGCATTTTAATGAAGCAATTGATTCTAAGTTAGTCTCAAAGTAGGAAGTGATTCATCATCTTTTAGTCTAGCTTTCTGTATCTTGAAATGGTACTTCCAGGCTAGGTGGCTTCCAGCAAAGACTAGTTCAGTATCCGCAACTAACTTTGAGACAAGTGGATTTATTTCTTCTTGCCCACAAAGACAATTCATCAGTTCAAAATGGCTTTAATATGTTCTCATTTGTCCAGGAGTGGGAGTGTCCTGGAGTAGACAAAGAATCAAGCATTTAAATTGAGTTCAAAACACTGAGGTATAAAAAAGAAGAGTCAAAACTAACTTGCACCCACTGCATTAATACCTTTCCCACTACACTACTGACTTTTCACCATTATCTGACTAACAGTTTTCAGTCACCATTAAGATAAGCTAAACCTGATATGGTGGCAAAATGAAGAGCTCTGTATTTCATTATGTCTTCCATGTACAAGAATATTCTGGCTCACAGATGGTACCACGGCACCTCTCAGCAGCATTAAGTTAACTCAAAGCTGTACAGTTGGACAGCCTGCAGTCCAAGATGAAATGCTATGTGCTAGTTATAATCACACTATGAGGCAAAAGAGTTAAGAAACCCCAATTAAGGTCAAACCAGGTAAAAAAAAAATAACCAAACAACCACATAAAAACCAGCTGCCATCTTATCCTTCATAAGCGTCAAGTAAACTGGGCAAGACTATAAAAATCAACTTCTTGCCTGCTCAACATTTATCTAGACAAATGGTGTCTCCATAAAAGAGTTCTTGTCAGACAGACAGAAAAAGCTACAGACAAAAAAATAAAGTAATATAAAATATAAAATTGAAAATAAAATAAAAATAAAAAAAAATGACAGCATATCTCAATTCTGAATTTCCTTATGAATAGTTTTGAAGATACAAAGTAAGTTAAAATCTTGGTCAAGGACATAGAGAGTGAGTCTACATATTCCACAACTGTTAGCAGAAGTACCCTTGTATGAAAGCAACTGTTTTGACCTTGAAAATACAGCATTAATTGCTTGGTTAAAATTTTCTCTTAACACAAATTTCTCAGCAGGTCCACTGCATTGAGTGGTTTCTCATTTCTACTATGCCGGAAAAAAGTTATAGTAAGAGTATCTCTCCTTTCTCTAAATCTGGAGAACTCTCCAATAGAAGTGGTATGAGGGTTGCCAAAAGAAATTACTCACCCCATTTCCTGTTTTACCAGCAGCCAAGCAGCACGCTATAGGTCACCAGCCATGCCCAGGAAGAAGGAAGGGAAAAAAAAAAAAAGCAAGTGAAATTAAGGCTTAAACTCCCAACAATTTGAGAGACTGTTAGCAGAAGGAAAAATGTTTTAAAAACTCAGGATAAAAGGGAAGTATTAGGATTTTAATCTAGCTTTTGCTTTAGAAGTGGAAAGACAGAACTGGTGTTTGTTTTTATTGTAAGACATGGCTTTGCAGTTCAACCCAAATCCTGTCTGGCTTTAAAAAAAAGATCAGGCTGCAGTAAACACACTTTGAAACTTGCTATTAACACTGTAACTGGAAAAAGACTCTGACAGCCCAAGTCAAGTGCAGCTAGCAGTTATCTATCATACAGAGAAATGAAAAAAAAGTGTCTGGATGGTATATGAAAACTGATTTGACATAAAAATAAATTTTTTTAAAAAATCAAATTCAGTTATCATCCCTTATAAAAAACATGAAATAAAAGACATACTTGGTCTTACAGTAATCATGAACCCTTTCCCTGAGGGTTGCCCCCTTATTTACAGCACACCACTTAGTTTAGGAGACATAGGCTTAATATGAGAAAGCTGCAGAACAGAAGGAATAATTCTAAAAATCAGAGGGAGCTTTTAGTGCAAACACTTGAGTTCACTAACAATTGTTTATCACACAGCGTACGTAGAAATGGCTGAAAAAATGTGATCTGAGAATCATGTGCAGATTCAACCTTGAATTCTCCTTTTTCATTTCCCAATTGCCCCTCTGTTGCTTTGTGCAGACTCTGTGAATACCAGCTTCTGCAGCTCCTGATACACTTCTTTGAGCAGAGGTTCCAATAAGTAATATTTGCTTTACATATGTGACCATAGGATAATTCAGGGACCTCAGGAGGTCTCTATCCAACCTTTTGCTTATAGCAGGATCAGCTATGAAATCAGGCAAGGTTGCTCAGGGCTCTATCCGATAAGTTCTTGATGGTGACTGCACCACCTCTGAGGACAACCTGCTCAAATGCTCGATTGTCCTCAATCTGTGCATTGTAAATACTTCCTCAAACTCTACTCCTCTCCTCTAGCAGCCTTATATATGTAAAGAATCATAAAGTAGCAAGCCCCTTAGATGTGACACTGCCCAGGAAAGACAACCATGAACCATCACTTAGGTGTCCCAGCTAACAAATGGAACTCAGCAGTATAAGAATTAACAGTGGTTATAACAAAGCAGAATTCAAATTACCAGCGGTACGAAAGGACGATAGAAAAATACAAAAGTAAGCACAAAGGAGCAACTGCCTTCAAATCAATGCAACACTAACAGACTTGAACAAGATTAAAAACGATCGAGAAGTTGAAGACTTCCAAACAACACTGCTTATGCCAAAAGCTTCCAAAAGCATATCCTTCCCAAACTTTGCTCTGAGGAACCAAACATTTTAGAGGTGCATCTCTTTGCGGTCTCACTCACTTCACTTTGTACTGACATAGTGATTCTACAAAATGATCTATTACTTCAGTGTAGTTGTTGTTCATCACTTTAGGCTCTAAATTCTGCCTCTGCATGGACCGAGAGCAGCTGCCATTCTCTGCACCACAATGAAAACATACCTTACTGAGCTGAAGTGCATTACAGTTAACCAGAACTTTAGCTTTGACCTCAAATGGCCTTTCTATTAGGTCTTTAATTAAGTGGAAAAAAGGTGATGTTGGACATGGGTGTTCAGAAGACCTGTACAATGTTTCCATTTCAACAGAATGGTTATCAGTGCAAAAGCAATTAATGAGAAAAACTCCCCTCTAAAATTCTTACAATGAAGCAACCACAACAACAATATTTTCAGTTCTTCCTCTACTAACAACAACAGCAGCAACATACATTAAGACTGGCAGGACACCACTTAAGTAGTAGAACCTGTACTGTCAATACACCATCTGGACACCTAGTCTCACCAACCCTCAGTGAAGATGAATTCCAAAAATCAAGTTGTTTGGCTTGAAACAACTACAATGCAAAAAATCAAAATTAGTAGTTTTCAATCTGTGGACTGCAGACTACTAGTAAAGCGTCAGAGAAGGACTCCATACGCTTGTCATAAAACCACATATACATATGCAATGTCCAAAACAGTTGGTATCTCAAAAGCAGTGAAAACCACTGATCTAAATTCTTCAGAATTTTAAATCCCTTCCCTGTCTTTCATTCTTCATACATGGTGCTTTAAGAATAACCTCCCTCCAAACCCTGTAGAAAGAATTGCTGTTTATTGTCAAGGAAATAATTCTAATGAAAAGGTTTGAAAACATGTATTGAACTAAAAGAATCAGGATCACATCATCACATCATCTTTTCACTGATGTCAGAAGGAACCACATCACAGATCTCTCTTGCATGCTGATGGAGCAACTCAGTTAAGAAAATGTCTATTACGCTTCATTTGGTATATCTAAAAGAATAAGGGAATCCTAAAATCAGTGCTAGAAATATTAAGGGGAAAGAGGGATGGTGCAGAGAGGACTCAAACTTTGTTCAATACACAAAACTGCACACTACTGAACAAAATAAATACAGTTTGTATTGATGGAATACTGTTTACTCAAATTCACTGTAATTCATTATTCTGCATATGTAGACAGTATGAGTAAGACTGCTTCACAAAGCACCATGAAGTACACTGTAATCTTGTTTGCATAATAACCCAGATAAAATCATAAATAAAAATAGTTTCCAATTGAAATTCCTTGAACATAATTCTGCACTAGAGAATATGACAACCATAGAACTGGGTCTAGAAATCTGCATTTGACAAATGACAATTTAAAAAATCTCATATGCCTTGATTTAAAGCACGTGTAGGTTTGGTACTCAGTCAAGTGGCTTATCTTATTATTTTCCCCTGTTTTACAGCGATACAATTACAAAATAGAGAAAACTTCTGCATCTAAGTAGCTACGCTAAAATGAGACCACAGGTCAAATTTCATCTCCTCTCTCTTTACTTTGAAATTGAAAGAGAATTAAAGAAATTACTTTTCCCCTTCAATTAAGAGGAAACATAGATTAGGGTACTGTGAGCACAGAAGCCAAAAGATCCCAAATTCCAAACCACATTCAAGCACCAAGCCAGCCAAACCCCTCTACTCCTTATGCCTTCATTCCCCTGCTCTACTCTCTCCCAGCTGTATGTGAAGCAGGGGATCAGATCCCTCTACTTCATAATTACTTTATGTTTGTGAAGTGGTTTGAAAATGAAAAATGCTCATTACAGAGCTCAAGCCTGCAGGGCAATGCTTAACAGCAAATACATTTCTGAAATACACTGGCTCAGGCACTATATTGATTACAAGCTGCAGGATATTATTCTAATGCTATCTAAGGGATCACAGTGGCAACAGTTGAAATATCATGTGCAATCCCAGGCACAGCATTTTCTCTCTGTATTAGAAAAGAGCTTCGAGATGGGGAATTCCACGATGAGGTATATGCAGTCCTACAGGGAGTAATGACTACAGATGCTATTTGCATCAATGTCCTTGTAGCAAGTACCAGGATGATGGATCACAACTGAGACTACAGACGTAGCTAACAGTCACCCTTTTGAAGGGCATGACTCACTTCATATTCTAATGTAGTTGTCTGACATAAACTTGGGACTCCTGTATTTATGATTTATTTTAATCAAATATCCTACTTGTGGAAAGAGGTGATAGCTTCTTTGTATTACAGATACAAATACTATGCCAATGTAAATTTTATGTCCTGCTCTTCTTTAGCTCCTATCGTACATTTTAGACTTGACAGGATGACAACTGTCATAATTAAATTAGTAGAAGGTAATATTAAAAGGTAGTTTCTGATTTTTTGTTAAAAAGAAGTCAGAGAAAATATGTGTGTCATACGAAAGGTCAATGGAAGGGAGGCTGTCTTTGCGGTGTCCTTTTATGATAAAATTATGTATGTTCTTGTACAGTACAGTTCAAAGAATTAAAAGCAGAATTTAACAAAAGACCTCTTTTCAACACAAAGCATTTTGAGATACTTGAAATATTTTGACATATTATACTACTTGGCTGCTTTTCTGTAACTGTAAAACAGGAACTGTTTTTACCAATTATTTTTTGAAGTGAGAAATGGATAGGTGGTAAATAAACGCCCATGATTTTAAAGAGGTTCTTTCTCCACCATCACCCACTTTCACTCTTTCAGCTAGAGCACAGCTACATTTGGCAAGACTGAAGGGATGGAATAGAAGGGACAGCAGAACTTCCTAATGCAGACCTGCTCCCAGAGAAACCGAAACTGTTTCCAAAGAGAACAGATCTGGTTTTGGAGCTTCCTCCTCACTCATCTCACTCCACCTATTCATTTCTGAAACCACACCACAACTTCTAGGCCCTTGGTTGTACCAAGAACTGTAGTATCGTTTGTTTGCTTGAACATAAGGACAAGATACCTTGAGTGAAGCAGATGGGCAGGTTAAAAATTACATCTCATCCCTTGTATCAAACTAATAATTTACTGTACTTAGAAGACAAAGTTATCATAATGTAGTAAATCTAGGTTTCTACCAACTGCACTTGCCCAGACAGCTTTCCAAGTCCATACAGTCTCAGTGTATCATCAACATTTCAGTCAGCTAGAGGAACTCTCTGAAGCAAACTATTATTTTTTGCTTCTATTTACAGCGAAGGCTGCCACAAAAGCAGACAGAAACACTTGCCCTGCTTGTTCAGATTAGCATGAGAACATCACTGAGCTAGAAATGCAATGCAATAACACCCTCTACCGAGGCATTCTGGCAAAGACCACAAGGAGGGTGAGGAAGAAGAGCAGCAACAATTTTTTCTTTCCTGCCTCCATCATTACATAGCTACACTATGGGGAGGAAACAAAAAAAAAAAAAGGTAATTTTAAAGCTAGATAAACTATAGCTGTCAAACTAAAGATGCATAATGGAAATGTATTATGAACTTGATAACATAGGAATTGCAGTTGGGACTCTGGGCAAAAGATTCTGTGCATCACTTTGTTTTTTGTTCACTGAAGCTATAATGAATGGGAGGTCTCGGTAACGACTAGCAAAGATAGACTGGAAACAGAAAAGACCTGATCTATAGTACCCTAAAAATAATAAGGCTTTTTTTTTAAACACTTAAGATTACACCAGACATAAAGTTGGAATAATTTTGACCTACATTTTGAGTTTTAAAGAGCATTGTGGGCACACACGCGTGCATCCATATATTCATCTAGCCTAGTGCTTTTCTGACATATCCTACTGTTTGGGTGACCATAAAATCAGATGGGAATAAGGGCAGTTCATCCAGCCAGAAAGCATAAAGCAATTTATTCTGGTATTATTTTACCAGACACAGTGGCAGCTGAAGCAAACACACCAACTCTGCTTAAGTTCAGATGGGAAGGAGAGAATCTTATGTTCAAGAAGACTTAGAAATAGAATATATGTTAGCACAATGCAGCTATTACACTGGCATGCGCCCAAGATGCCAGAACTAACAATAGAAATCAACACTAAAGGTGTAGTAGATTATTATTATAATCAAACTGTGTGGCATGAGAATAGGCCCCACCATAGCTTTTCATATCACCTATACTGCTTTCTGCCATGTTAACTCAAGCTCCTACTACATCTTAACACAGCAGGCATCTATCAAAGATGTAAGTGTTGCCCTTTAAAATAGTATTTTTGCATCACTTTATATCAGAAAGCAAGGGAACATTGTAAAACATCTTACAACTAAGCAAATATTGTCACTTTATTGATCAAGTTATAATAAGCTTAGTATTCTTCCTCAATTTAAAAAAAAAAAAAAAGACCAGGGTTATACACTTCTCCATATTATCATTATCTTCTATAACTAAATGACTGAAATGTAAACAATTTAAGTTTGACTAAAATTGCCATCAAAATCAGTAGTTTTACAACTGCTATAAAATGTAGTTTTACAAATCTAGACTTTCAACAATGCCCGAGACAGGTGACTATTAAAATATGTACTTTCACATCATTTAAAATGCTGAACAGCTAAAGAGTTCATCTTCAAATTCCTTCATTTGTATTCTGCACTACCAATTATCATTTATTTCAGGAAAGGCACCAGCTGTGCAGTTCCTTTTCCGAGAAGATCCACAAAGCAGAGCTGGCATCTGTACCAAAGGGAACAATCCACCGAGGATTTAAAAAAACCCTCCTTTTAGATTTTCAGATATAAAGTAACTCCTGGGCTAACTGAAAACTGAAGCGACTTAGACACTTTATTAATTAAAATAATACTCACCAAGAAGGAAGGGGCGAGCAGACTTCACTGCTAGCATGTGTTTTCAGGTTTTTTTGAAACAATAGCAATTAAAAATCAAACCACCTCCAGCTTGTGCATTCCACAGTTACTTTTTTCAATATGCATTTCAGTTATGAAGAAATATCTGTAAATACTTACCTCCCTAACAGACAGCTGTGGGGGTAGCGACACAGAAAAGACGAAACTAGTGAACTGGTAGTCAGCAGAATTAACCTTTTGGCACACCTGTAAAGAAGGGATTTTAATATTAAACCACAGCAATGGAACTGACTTGATAATCTTTCAGAATACTCTTTATTCTAGTGTAATCACTGTAAATCCATGTTAATACATATTCAGATAGATGCCAAACATACAAACCAGAGTAATCCCAAACAATTTACTGAAATATAAGCTTTTTTGTTCTGCTAAAAAAAAAGTTACTACTACAAAGATACTAAACGTATCCTTGTTGCTACGAAACAAGCAAATTTGCTATTTTAAGGCTAAGACCAATTGTATACCAAAATCTTAGTGCAATGAATTACATCACTGTGGCGAAAGGCTAGAACAGATGATTCAGAATGTCTGTCTTCATGGCAATGATACAATTCTATGACAATAAAAAGGTTTAAGATCCTGGGATAAGACAAGAACAAACAGGTGTCCACAGCATCAATTCATGACGACTCTTCATCATAAACAAATCATGTTTGCCACTGGAAATAAAGTAAGAACACACATCGAACACTTTAAAGTAGGCTAGTGAGAGCTCATGGCTAGATGTCCCTACTGGAAGTAAACCTAAACCCACATGGAGCAGTTGTCCAAAACGTCAGTGATTTTAGTGAATGTTAAACATTCTGAATTCTGAGCTTTCAAGGCAAAATCAACAACCCAGATAAGGAAATTTCCTTATAAAATAATCAGGTTTTGTGGTGCCTTAACAAATGCCATCAGATTTTCTATTGCTAGTTAAGAGAGTAACTCTGAAACAAGTCTTAGAAGTGGATTCTGTAAAAATATATAAATTCTGCCAATGGAAACAAAAAAGAAACATCATGTACCGCCCAACAACTATATACTACACTTTCTGTTTAGTCCCATTTTTAGATATATTCATGCTAGTAAACCTAATTCTTTTCTATTAAAACTCTGTTAAACATCTCAAATACAAGTGTGATTTTTCTAGCTGATATTTCAGTTTGTCACATAAGCAATCTTATTGCTCAAAGACGATGTTTGCAACACTCATTATGCCCATATTCTCTCCTAACTCATATTTTCTCCATTATCTACAATCTGTTGTATCACCAAAACATTTTATTCCTCTGTGGCTTTCTAAATAGTAGTACATTGTAAAGACAGACTCATGCTATATTAGGAACATGTAGTTAAGCTGAAGAGCACAGCAGTTGATGACTCCTCATTTTCCCTTCGCATAAGAAAAGTAAAGGGAGGTCACCATTTACAGTGAGGTTTTCCTTGTAATCTAAGCAGCTGAACCTCAGGTTATCTCCTAAATTCATGTAACCATGTATCTGTTAATCCTTCTCTTAGGAAAATGTGCTCCTGGCAGTCATTCCATTGCACCTGCACTGCTGTTTTTCAAAAAAGTTACATTATGATAAGGCCTGCGTAAAATATGGTCACACTGACAAATTTTATTTCCCAGCTGCTGGGGAGGTAACACTGCCAACACCGTCACGGAGCAGTACGTAGCTGAACGGCGCCATCTACACTTCAAATACTCAAAATAGGTAAATGTTTCAGTTTGCTTTCCAGTATTTTTCTCTCAATTGTTTAACTGCATTGTGTTTTTAATCACCAGCTCTATATTGTAAGCCCCAACATACACAAGCTCCAGAAAAAGTACACAGAAAGATTAATAAATGTTTATTTACCTTTTTAACAAAGTCAGCCTCGCAGAACTCCTGAAGAATTCCCAAACACACATTGCAAACCTTCACAGATGAGTTCTCCGTTGCAGTATTTTCACTGTTAACTGAAGGAACCTGCTGAAGGCCTCCATTGTGGTTCAGATCATCAGGCCCTTCTGTGTGTCCAAGTCTAATTCTCTTACAAGGTGGATCAACTGCATCAGAACAAACCGAATCTTCCTTTTCTTGATTATTTTTCAGAAATTCTTTTAAATCCTTCATCAAATCCTAATACAAACAGAGGAATCGTACTGTTGTTGTTTTTTTCTCTTTTCTCCAATGCTGTAACAAGCACTTACAAACCCAATTCTAAAAGGTAATACTAATCACTCCATTTTAGCCTTAGTGTATGTAATTAATATATTGGAATTTATACCAAAAGACATCTACATAATTAAAAAGCTCCAAGCTCTATTTCTCGCAGAATGCTATCCAGAGAAACTGAATTTTGCTGAGCAGACTTCCTTATCATCTAAGAAGAGTGAAACCATTTTACAGACCTGGCTTGCAGAAATGCATTTGTCTTTGGCCCCATGGTTATTCAATGAAAATAGATGTTTACTGCCTTTTTGCCATTTCAGATTATGTTAGATTTTAATTCCTCCAACTCCATTCTCCCAGATGACTCAGAAGTGAGTTGGGTAGTATAGTATGAGAAGAAAATGAGAGCAGATACAGGTGAGGGTGAAATTAAATACATAGAGGAAGAACTTCATATAAATAGAGATGCCTACAAAAATTAAAGGATGTGCTGGTGAGGAGAGAGAAGAAATTCCTGCATGTCTCTGAATTTCAGGATGGATGAGAGACAGAGGCAAGACATAGTTCAGAAAGAAAGATTTATTAAAAGGTCTTCAGTAACAAAGACAGCAGTCATTGTGTAGTTACAACTCAGAGGAAAATCAGGTAGAGATGCAAAAGAATAAAATATGGCATACAGGATGAACACTTCTCAAATGATCCATAGAAAATGGAAAAGGATAAGGAAGAAAGCTGTTAAAAATTAATTCTGGAGAGTCTAAACTTGAACAAAGGTAAAACAATCAAGACAGACAGCAGAAGATACAAGCATAAAGACAAGGGATTAGACCAGGTAAATGGAGATGTTTATTTGGCCTACACAACCAGAGAGGTCTCAAGGAACCAAAACAGAGGAGGAGCAAATAGCCAAAACCAAGTTGAGGAGTATCAAATACAAGAACAAAGGCAAGAAAGATTGTGCACAGCTAGGAAAAAATTGAAGAACACTGAATTTCAGCACTAAAATCAGCTAGAAAGGATGCCAAATAACAATGTGTTTGAGTGAGTGAAAAAGGAAGGTTTATCCTTAACCCATGCTCCACAATTTTTCACTTATATCCCCCTACCAATTCTGCTGAAGGAAGGAAGTATGAGGCAGAAAAGTCTGGAGCATAGATGGTTCCTCCACTGCATCAGCTGCACTGCCCACAGCTCCTTCACTACTTATTACATTAGAGAAAAAAGAAGAGAGGGAACAGTCATAGCTGCGCTGCTTCAAAAGTGATAGAACCATGCTGTGCAGAAGCTAATATGCCCTGGATTTTGGTGTTTTCAGGGAATACAAAGTAACTTTCACAGTCAAACTTAACATTTAGCCCACAACAATTGTTATATGATACTTGTAATTTCTCAAAATTGCACAGTGTAGCAGCAGTCATTTTTCATAACTCATTTCGTAAAGAATTTTCCTCTCAGGCAAAGAGCCCAAGATTACCACAACCTTCTCCAAGGTAGTGCAAAGCATTCATATGTTCACACATTCTAATCAGGAATAAAAAGAACCAACCTCATATGGATATCTATAAAGCGTCTGTGATCCCACACAGCAGAACCTTAAAATACATCGTGGGCAAGTGCCAGTGTTCAATAACAGCTGAACAATTGGTCGGTCCTTTTCTGTTAGTGAAGACATGCTGGAAAATTCTAAAATTTAAAAAATAAAAGAAAAAAACCCTTAGAATAAACACAATTCAGCAGTTCAACAATAAAAGAACTCATTTAACTGCACCATATTTAACATCAAAATTAATTTTTTTTTTTTTGTCCTCTAGAGAAAGTTTAGTATACACGTTTGTCTAAATTCAAAGGCACAACAGAATTTGAAGACCAATCCAAAAGGACCACTGACTCAGGGAAAAGCTTCTGTACTTCCTAGGAAAACGTGAAGTCAAGAGTTTTGACAAAGGTAGGCTGAGCTTTTGCCCCGAGTTTTCTCTTTGATAAAGTGCATTACATGACATGTTATTCTTTACTGAATGGAGAAGGAGTGGAGCTAAAATACATTAAGCCAAATGTAAAACAGAAATGTATTCTAAAATTGCAGCAACTAAAGAGACAATGTGTTAAAATCACAGGAGGGGGGAAAAAAAAAAAAAAAAAAAAAAAAAAAAAAGCACCTTTGCTATCCATTAGCCCCTTCAATTTTTTAAGGTTTCTTATTTCCTATCTCAAATATAGGACTCCCATTTTTGTGAGAGATCTCATAATGGGTTTTTTTCATATACGATTACGGCTAATTTGGTTTGCTGTCATTCTTTCTGCCCAGAACATTAGAACAGACTAATTTCTTTGGCCAAAAATTAATAATGGGATAGAACTCTGCATTTTTTTGAAAAATATGGAAAAGGAGAGATTCCCAGTGAAGTTCTTCCCCTTACCTATCTGGGAAACTTTAGGAGGCACATAAGAATAACCACAGTTGCTCAGACCAAAAGTTCAGTTGGTCTACGGTCACCCAAAGCCGGGATAAACAGATGCCACAGGAAAAATACGTGTGTGCAGTGCATACAGGTCTGCCAAGAGCTCTCTGCCTCCAGTTATTTCTGGTTTGGGGAATTCCTTTGGCCTCACGTGGTTTGCCTGTTGGTAAACCTTAACAGATCTTTCCTCCAATCCTTCTCGAGCACCTCTTGGAAATTATTCTGCCTCCACATCCTTCGGTGAGGAATTCCACAATACCTACTGACAGATGAACCCCCTAATCTTGTTTTGGGCTTCGCTCCGGAAAGCAACATTCAATATTCCCCTAGTTTTTGTAGTGCAAGAGGGGCAGGATATATAGGCGTTCTCCACACCAGTACAGCCTGTTACACCTCTTTTGGCTCACCCTGCTCAGGAGAACCTTGCACAGAAACACCCCAGCCACGCAAAACCTTCGCAGCAGGAGAAGAGTTATTATTTCAATTAATTTAGCCTCCCCTGGGTTTGGGTTCTTTACGGTAAGCTGTAAAAAGCAAGGACTATCCAAAAAGCTTCAAACCCGCTTTTAAAAAGAAAAACCCCAAACCAGCACACTTTCAGGTAAGCGTTAGCTGGATTCATCCCCGTGAGGCGTACGTCTCGCCACAATAACGTTTCACGCCCCCATCGCCGAGCGACTGAAGGAAAATCCCCGCGGAGCAGCTCCTGCAAGCAACCGGCCGCTTCCACGGGCGGATCCAACGCAGGCGCCGCCCGCAGCCCGGCCGGGACGGCAGGCACCCGCCTCCACGCAGCCGCTTCCCCACGCCGACACCCGGGACGCACCGCGTTCCCCACGGCGCCGCACAAGCTCACGCCTCAGCCCCCGCGGCTGGGGGTCGCGACGCGACAACCCCTTGACCGGCCCACCCGCGCCAGGGGCAGCTCAGCGTCCCCCGCTCCCCACCCAAAACACCTCAAGTCTCGGGGAGGGGAGGGAGCCCCATAAACCCCCCCACACACACGCACGGACCGCGCGCCCCGACTGTTAAAACCGTTACAGCCCCCCAGACTGAGGCGCCTCGTGTGGGCGGAACCGGGAACGAGGCGGGAATGAGCACCACTCAGGACGGTACGGGGAAGAGGAGTTGCGGATGTGCCCTGAACTGTTGCCACCACCCCCCGCCCGTCCCGTCGCGCCCCACTTCCCCGGGAGCCGCGATCACCTCTCCGCGCCCCACGCGTGGCCCTGTCCCCGCCTTCCCCAGCGGCCAGCAGAGCCGGCACAGGCCTGAGCAGTGGCGAGGCAAAGCGCATCGATGGGCCGGCGCAGACGCCAGCCCTTACCCGCTGGGCGGCAGGTGAGTATCTCGGCGCTCCCGCGTCGCGCCTGCTGGGCGGGCGGAGCGGCGGGGGCGGGCCGGGCCGCGGGCTAAGCGGGCCCCGCAGCCGGGCCGACATGGCGTCGCAGCCGCCGCCTCTCAAGCCGTGGGAGAACCGGCGGCTGGCGGGCACCGTGGCGCCGGCTTTCCAGTGAGTGTGTGTGCGCGCCTAACCCCCCCGGGTCTCCCCTCCTCCGCGGTTCGCCCCCTCGGAGCGGCTGCGCCTTCTCCTCTGCGGGCCTCCCGCCTTGGCCGCGTTCCTCCCCCCGGAGGCGAGCTCAAAGGTCGGGCGCAGCCGGTGCCTGAGCAGGGCTTGAGGGGGGTGGATGGTTTGGGGGCGTTTGCCCTGCTTTGCTGAGGGGCTGTGTGCCGGGCGTGGGGGGGGGCTGTCTCTGGTGAATACCCCTCTCCTCAAGCGGGGAGAGGGAGCGAGAGGCTCCCGAAAGGTACCGGTCTCAAAACCTACCTGTGTGCGTGGGGAGCTGCGTGTTTCATGTGGGGAAGGTGGAGCTGTGCGAGTGGACAGAGCGCAGGGGTCCCTTCCTGGGGGTTCTGTAGCTGGGTTCAGCGTGCGTGCCGCTGTGGGAGGGGAGAAGCTGGTGTGTCGTGTCCCCCGGCCTTGGAGAAGATGGGTGTGTATGTCTGCGTCTGGTGTGTTCACCCAGCGATTTGAGTCTTCCCAGAAAATCCAACCTGCTCGTGGAGAAGGTTGTTGTGCAGAAAGTGTTTGTAAACGCCTTCCTTTTTATCGGAAATAAAGAAAAGCTTGGTGGTTGAAGATCGAGTCTTGTTTTTCATTTGGTGGTAGCGGTTGCAATTAGCGCGAGCTGAAACTAGGCAAAAGGTTAGCTCAAGACTGAACGTTCGACAGAAACTTTGCTGCTTTCACTGCAAGCTGAAGCTTGCTGAACAAGAAATTTAGTGTTAATTTTTCTCAGTGGGGTTATCAAACTCATTTTAAGTTGCTTCAAGCAGCTTTAAAGGGAGGTATCCGAAGCTGGCTATTGGGGAGGGAAACGTAGTGTGGCTTAATAAGTTACAGTACCTCTGTTTGCTGTGATAATAACTTATTTTTGCTTCTGTTTTGAACTGCTAGAAGAGTTAAAGTCTGTGGGGGTAAGAAACAAACAGTATAAAGATATAAATGTTATTCTTTGCTGTGTAAACCTGTAAGATAAGTTTTGCTGAGAGGAGGTTGTTACCTACCTTATACAGAAATATTGGAGCAAGCATGCTTCACACTGAAAGCAGTGCAGAGAGAAGCAGCTCCGTAGCAATTCAAAGTTGACTTTTCTTCTTCTCTTTATTTATGGTTTTGTTTTTTGTTTTTTGGGGTTTGTTTTTTTGTTTTTTTTTTTTTTTTTTTTCTGTGAATTTAATGGACTATAGAAGTGGTAAGTCATAGGGTGAGGTAGTAAATATGGGAAATGGCCAAAACGTTTGACTGTTAGGATGTTAACATGTGATTAGCTTTTTAATGAAACAGCAGAAGTTGGACAGCTGCTTGACGGAATTCAAATACCAGTCTAGTACTTTCAGAGTCTTATTATGAAGGGCATAGATAAAATCACTGAAATTTATGGGCATACAAAGGAATAAAAGTTTTACTAAATTAAAAACAAATAGTTGACTTTTAATATCTCTTTCTGTCAACAATTAGTAGTAATAGATTCAATCTCTTGACATGCTACATAAAGGTAATTAGTTTGGGTAGAGGGGGAAATTGAGGGACCCAGAGCCCTTGCCTATGTTATTGTGTAATCAGTTGGATTATCAATTAGGTCACACCACCCTTTTCTCTAAGGGTGGATTCAAAGGAGCACTCAGACTTCCTGCTGTATCATTGGCTCATTGTATAGAAGAGCTGAGAACAAGTATTGGAAATAAAGCTGTCTGAGAAGTTCATAAATATTCTTGGTAGTGCATATGAGAGGCTTTTGTGTGCAGAAAAATTGCTCGGGTATTCTAGTGTCAGCTCTGATGGGTCTAGACGTAGCACTTCATGCGTTCTTAGTCAGTACAATAGACGGAAAGTTTTTCCCATCTCTGTGTTTCTGATATGCTGCAGTTCCACATTTACACTGAATATCTCATTATGGGTTTTTTTTTCTCTCTTCCCCAGAAGACCTGTATTTCCTGACTAGAATTTTTACTTCCCACAAACTTTGTGCAATATACTGAGTGTTTGGCTACCACGTTCCCTATCCTAGCACTACTGAAATGCACTGTCTTATTTATATAGTTAGCCACGAACTCTGAGGAAATGAAAATGTAACTTACTTTTGGTACTGACCTTGCTTGTCTGAATTCGTTTAGGTCTGCTGACTTGGGTGACAACCTGCTGACCAGGCCTGGACAACCCACAGTTGCACGAATACCTCCACCTATTTTACCAAGACCATCACAGCAAACGGGAAGCAGTAGTCTGAACACTTTCAGGCCAGCATATAGCAGTTCTTTTTCTCCAGGCTATGGTTCATATGGAACCTCTTTTTATGGAAGCTATAGTCCTTACAGTTATGGATATGGTGGTTTGGGTTATAACCGCTTTCGTGCCGATGATATTCCTCCCAGCAGGTTTGTTCAGCAGGCTGAAGAAAGCAGCAGAGGTGCATTTCAGTCCATTGAAAGTATTGTGCATGCGTTTGCCTCAGTCAGCATGATGATGGATGCTACCTTTTCAGCTGTGTACAACAGTTTCAGAGCTGTGTTGGATGTAGCCAATCACTTCTCCCGCCTCAAAGTACACTTCACAAAGGTGTTTTCAGCTTTTGCATTAGTGAGAACTATAAAATATCTCTACCAACGTCTACAACGATTGCTAGGTCTGCGGAAGAGCTCTGAGAATGAGGATTTGTGGGCTGAAAGTGAGGGGACAGTAGCTCGTGTTGGCCTTGAAGACAAGGCAGCTAACTCTGCAAAATCCTGGCCCATTTTCTTGTTTTTTGCTGTTATAATGGGAGGTCCTTATCTGATTTGGAAACTGCTTTCTACATACAGTGACGAAGAAACAGGTAAAGATGATCTGCAACGTGAGAGAAGTGCAGCATATATTGTTCCTTTTATTACATATATAGCAATTTAATATTATACTACAGCAATAGAAGGGGGTACAATACTGAATTTTAGGCATGTGATACAAGTAACAGCCTGTTTAAGTAGCCTGTTGATGAGTTAGGATGCAGTTTCATGGTAAGCTTTGTGTGATTCCAGAATCACAGTTCCTTTCTATTAGATGTGGCAGTTGGGGCAGGGGGAAAAGTATTGGTTGGATTGACTCAATAAATCATGCTTTGTGACTCCTGTCAGTTCTCTATAGGAAAGGTTTTAGCAAGAAAGTGAGTGTTTTCTTCATTTTCCTTTTAAAAAAAACAAAAACAAAAACAACAAAAAAAAACCCACAAACCATCAAATTTTAGAATTCAAAGCAGATAAACTTAAAAACTTATAATTTCTTTTTGGAAACAGTATCTAGTAACTGGGCGAGTGGAGAAGATGATCATGTAGTTGGAAGAGCAGAATATGATTTCAGTGCTCTCTCAGAAGAAGAAATTTCTTTCCGTGCTGGTGACATGCTAAAATTAGCACCCAAAGGTAAACTTTTAATTTTGTATTTATTTTCTAATCACATGTCAAGTAAGTCATATTGTTTGAGTCTGAAAATGAAAACAAAAAAATCCCCACCTTATTTGACCAAACTTCTCATCCACACAGATTTTGTTTGTTTGTTTCTGTAAGTAGTTTTGTTAAGTTTCCTTAAGATATGACACAGCCTAAGCTTACTCAGGGAGTGATTTGTGGTTACCTTTTCCTCACGTGTGCTGTACAACTGAAAATCTTTAGGCATTTGCAGTATGGTGGTGTCATTGCAGAACAACCTGCACTTCACAGTACTCTTCAGCTCACCTCACCAATGCAGATCCTAGTCCTTTCTCTTGAAGTAATTTGTATCCAGCTTTAATCACGGAGTAACTTTCTCTGCATCCTGAGCTGTTGTCGTCTACATTCTAATGTGTTTGTGCCTCCACTGCAGTATATTTTGAATTGTTTTGTAACTTGATGCATTTGCATTTTCTTCTTCAGAACAACAACCTAAAATCCGTGGCTGGCTTTTGGCTAGTTATGATGGCCAAACAACAGGACTTGTGCCAGCTAATTACATCAAAATCCTGGGTAAAAGAAGAGGTAGGAAAGCAGTGGACCTGGAAAAGATTACAGAGCAACGGCCGGCCTTTACCCGCACATCTGTTAGAGGATCCACTGCTACTGTGACTTTAGAGGAGCAGGAAGCTGCTTTTGATTCTGTGTTTGCTGGAAGTAATAAAGCTCCTGTTGCAACTGACTCCACTGTGGTTAGTGGAGAGAAACAGGAACTCTAATGCACTTTGATCAACAAAGCAACTGAACTGTGCTTTATTGATAAAACTTAGGGTTTGTTGAAAAATCTGTATTGTAGTGGAACACTGATGGGTCTGTACCAGTTATTGCTGCTACTGACTGGTGAAGGGATGGAGAAATGATTGCTCAAATTTGTAGTATTTATTTTTGACTCACCTAAGGCTGTACATTAGTGATTCTACCCAACCACCTGGCAGCAACTAAGATCTTGAGGCAAGGAGAATTGAGGCATTTATAACAAGGAAACAAAAAAAACCCAAAACAAAACAGGGACTGCCAGCCCATCCTTGTTAAGAAGACAAGCTGTTGGTGAAATCTAGAGATTAACATCCTGTCTTCATTGAAATGTCAGCTTGACAAGAAGCCTCTTCGATAGATGTGCAAAGGGAAGGTAGATTTCTGTAAGCTGTCCTCCAAAACTGGATGCTGAGGTCTGTAAAATAGTAGTGTTGCTTCGTTTCCTCCTGAAGGGAGGGAGGGAGAATTGCAAGAGAATTAGGTGGTGCAATTGAATCGTTAGAAGTTATAAGTTTACAGAGGAAAAGCGAGGAGGATTCAGCAGTAGTTTGAACCAGATCTCTTTTGTTTATTAAAAGAACATTAGAATGAAGGCTGTCCTGCAGTCAGGCACTTTCCAGCACACTTACTTTTACTCCCTTCTGTGGTAAACTAACTTTGCATCACTCCCAGCCATTTTGTGTTGTAGCCGGTTAACTGCCTATCAGTAGTTTATCAATTGCCATCTGCCTCTCAACTTATTTCTGTTATTATTTTTATATGAATGTCGAAATATCTCTCCTGCCTTTTAGTGCAGTAGGAAAGCATTGGGTTGGGGGAAGTTTTCCATGAGTGGCAAAGAAAAAGTAACATCTCTTGCTTCATTGTCTCAGCTGAGGCCTTGGAGTTAACTCTTTATGCTGCCTTTCAGGTGGTAAATTTTGCAACTGCCCGTAATTTGAGGGCTCTGGTTTGTCAAAAGCCACAAAAGCATTAAGACTGTTCAAAATATTTAGTATATTCTTCATATTGGTGTTTGAAAATTCTATAATGAAATACCATTTTGTTTTGTTTTGCTATGAAGCAGAGATAATTAAAACTTTTTTTCCTTGTAGTACATACGTATAACATATTGAGCTTCTGAAGGTTAGAGCAATGTGTAAAGTAACTAAAGCTTGTCTTAATCATTAAAATAGCTTTTTTATTTTAAAGGTACTCAAAAGTATTAGTGAAAGTAGGGCACGTGCCTCTGCTTAATTGATCCAGTAGTTTCAGCTTGTTTCTGCAGAGATCTTCAACACCCATTATGTGTTAGCTAAGCTTTCAGAATTTAGACTTTAATTGCATTTGCTGGCCTTGAGATCTTAGGATTCTGTTCATCACAACAAAACTCTGAGAAGAAAAATTGAAGTGAGCACAGTTTTATTGAGGTATAGTGGCTGAAAAGACAGGTATTATGCTGGAACACAATTTTAAAGAAAACTCTGAATGCCTGTTGTTGATAATTAGAGCAAGAATTTAAGTGGTTGTGCTCAGTAATTGGGAGATGATGCGAAGAATTTTTTTTTTTTTTTTTTACTAGACTGTTAGACCTTCAAGTGCAAAGGAACAGGAAAGAGTAGTTAAGGGGCAAATGATAAATTGACACTATGTTTACTAGGTTTAAAACAGAACACGTTCCTGAGACACTTCCCTATGTAGCAGGGCATTGGAGAAAATTATCTATATTTTGACATGACATCTGTTGTTGATTTAAATAAAAATAGCAAACAATCCTGAAATATAAAATAGGAATAAAAGGCGGGGAGGAGGGCAAGTATCAAGTGTACAGTTCTGCCTACAGTGTGTATTCCTGGATGGAATTAATTTACTTTTGTGAGATTTAATTAATGGATTGTCATCCTCTCTTGTGTCAGTGAAAGATTTCAGTCCGAGGAAGTGTCTGTTAAATAAATGAATAAACCCCAAACTTTATGTAGAGCATCTATTCAAGTAGATTTTTGTTTTCCTGCTTAGAACAAGTTGGGAAGACAGTACCATGATGTTTGTTAGAATTTTTAAATCTTGCTAATTTTTAGAAATATTACTTTCATTTCACTTTTCAGATCATACTATTTTGAAAACAATTCTTTTAGTAGGAAGATAGGTTATTAATAACTGCGCTGAGTTGGCTTTGTGGTAGTTTGACTCAGTCTACCAATCGCTGTCATAACTGTATCTGCTGAATCTTGACAAGAATTTTGATCCTTTCAGTCTTGTGATTCCTTTAATGGGAAAATAAGGCTCTGAGGAAATCAAGTTAAATAACTAACTCACAATTAATTGTACTGATTGCAGAAGGGTATTAAAAATCACTGAAGTAAAATATATACTGTGCTTTAAGATTTTCTTTTTTTTCTTTTTTTTTTTTTTAATTTTTAGTGTACAAACTAGCATCAGGAAAAAAATGTGAGTCCTACAATTTCACTCTATGTTTCTGTCTATATGTCAGGCTACAGAAAAAACATCTATATGAATGTTGATTGAAAAAGGGAGGCTGGTTGGCAGGCTGCTTAAGACTTGAAGAATTTTAGAAACATGAGAATACTAAAAGGAGCAGGTGTGGCTGCAACAGGAGTATGTAGAAGAAGAGATCAGAAAAGAGATGCTGTTAAAATATTGTTAAACTCATGCATTGACAGTTATTAAGATTTGTACGTGCTAAGATTCCTTTATGTTATTCTTTGGAACTACTTATACTGTAGCAGCGTAGAAGTCAGTAATAGACCTATGACATTTGTTTGTGTAAGGTTTTAGTTTTATCTTACTTTAATCTTATTGATAATGTTTAGTATAGCAGAGCCATTTTATGTTTGAATACTATCTGAACTAACGACAGATGCCAGTTTTGACTGGTTCTCTGGGTGCTAGCAGTACGTGAACATGCACACATTCAAAGCTTTGTTCAGGTTTCTGAATAATAAATTTAAAATATTATTCTCTTCATCTAGCAGAACTTAATAAAATTGTCTGCCTCTTTTGCACAGGTTCAAAAACTTCCTTCCATGGAACTAGACTGCATCTGAGATAGATTGTTTTGTCTTACTTGGCAATCTTTGTGAAATTTGCTAGTGTGGTAAATATTAAAAAAAATAGATGCTTATATATCTTGATCTGTTTGTAAGGACAATTTTCCAGAAGAGGTACAAACTCAGAAACCAACACAGTGATTTTTCTTGATGCACCATTGTAGAAATACTCTTGTCCACAATAGTAGCAGAACTGTATTTCACAAAACATAAATAACGTGAAAGCGTATGTTTTTAAGTAGTTCTTTCCAGTTTTTTTTTATCCGTGCAGGTGTGGCCGTATGTTGGGATTGGCAAACATTTTTGGTCTCTATTGGCAGCTAGTAATTCCCTGTATCCACAGATGGTGATACACTGTTTTCCCCCTCCCCTCCTTGTGTGGTGGGACCGGTTTTTCAGCAAACAGATTTGAAACAAGTTTGAGATGATAAATCTGTCTCCTGGATTCTGTGGCCGTACCAGACACAGCCTTTAAGCAGCTGGGTAATCTCTCTTCCAAACAAATGTTATATAACTGGTTTAACTAGTAGCATAGGCATGATGTCCATGCGGGGCACCCCTGGATCTTACTTATATACGGTTTTGAATGCTGTTTTGAGATACTGAAGTTCCCTAAATTTCATGATAGTCACAAAACTGTAAGACTCAAGCAAATCATGCAGATTATTTATGGTGTCAAAGGGTAGCTTTACAGTTTTTGGGGTTTAGAAATTAAAATGCTTTAAATGCAAAAATCTAGTTCCACTACCTTTGAATTATTGGTGACTGAACAAGCATAGTCACTAGACTATGAAATGAATAAAATTTGAGATACTGATTTTTTTTCTCAAATACTGATACTGGTATTTTTTTTTTTCTTATTAAAGAAAAAAAAAAAAAAAAGAGGGACTGAACTTCTGCCTAACAGCACAGGTTAATTAAAATACTGGGTTTCCAGTTCCCTGACATACCATCACGCTTCCATTCATAGTGTAATTGCTCAATGTCATAATAATATAGCCGTATTGCAACATTAGCGTATTCTGTGGATTGCTGTGGGACGTTATGAAATCAGGAGTGTTTTCTACTTTAACTGAAACCCAAGTGAAGCTCTCATACTGACTTAAAGAATTCAGATTTCGTAGACTTTTCTAGATAGGTGCAGTGCTTTTCCTGAACTCTTCTGTGCTTTTTTGCATTCTATGTCCTCACTGTATTACTCCAGAGTTTGGGGGCCGGGGGAGGAGGGGTGTTTGCAAAAAAAAATGTTTAATATCTCTGTGACCATGATTATCTCAGTGGTTCCTGCCAAAATACCAAGGAGGAACAGAAGTTACAAAGTGGGATTTTGCAGGCATGCGGAAGGGAACAAACCAACAGTGGGCAAAATGGGAGGATTGGGCCTGTCTGACCTTTTGCAGAAGCAGCTTGGTGTGAGAGGAGCCTTGAAGGGCTGTTCCTTGTAATTAGCTCCATGTTAGATGTTCTGTTACTGCTTTTACAGTTACAAGTGTATCAAATAGTTAGATCGGTTGAAAACCTGGGAGAATCTTAAGGCACCTTATCTTTGGCCAGCATCTTTACTGGAGTGTTTTAACACAAATTCTTGCTTAATTAATTTGCTGTGAGACCAATTCTCCTAGTGGATGCACTATTTTGACAGGTGCTGAGAACTTTACAACGTCACCTGCTCGGGCTGCCCAGGTTTCACCTTCCTGTTACCACTTTGGCAGGTGGGGACGTAATCAGGGAATTTTGTTACTGGAGGAATGGGACCAGCGTTACTCCTGAGGAATGCTGGGGCACTGCTCGAGGAGCCGGAGCTGGGGGGTGCGGGCAGCAGCAGAGGGGAAGGATCTCTGTGACCTCGCACCGAGCTAGGGAGAGGTTGGAGCAGTGTCACGGGCGCTCTGGAGCGCGGGGCGTGACGCCACGCGCGTGACGGAATAGCTCCTTCCCCCCCCCAATCAGTCGAGATCGAAGCGCGGGCGGAGGCCGCGCTGCGTCAGTGGTGCTGTGACGAGGCGGAGGCGCAGTCTGACGTCACGCGGAGGCGGGGAGAGTCCCGTCCCCTCATTTCCCCCCGCCCTCGCGCGCGGGGGGGGGGGCGTTGCTAGGCTACGGGACGCCGGGCGCGAGGCGGCAGGGGGTCGCTGCTGCTGCCGCCGCCGCTGCAGTGCGACAAGGCGGGGCCGCCTCCGCAACACGGAGCGCGCCGGGGCGCCCGCGCTGCTCGCGCGGCCGCATTTCACTCCGCCCCGCCCTCAGCCCACCCTATTGGCTCTCCCCGGGCGGAGTGGGCGGGGTCTCATCACCCGCCCGGCGCCGATTGGTGGCTGCCGTGTCCCGTCCGTTCCCACCACCCCACCCCCCCCAACGGCGCTCGCGGCCCGCGCACTCCCCCCGCCCCGAAAGGGTGGGGTCGGGCGGCGCTGGGGTGTGAGGGCGCCCGCCTCGCGCGCTTCGAGCGTCGGCCGGTGGGGACGGGGAACGGGGGCGGCCATCTCGCCGGTCCCGCCGCCCTGAGGAGCCCTGTCGGCGGCCCTGCCGAGGTTCTCGGCGGGAGCGGCCGCGCCCGGGCTCCGCTCCGCCACGCCGGGAGCCCGCCGTGCCGTTCGTCCCCTCAGGGGAGCGGCGCCGCCGCCTGCCCCGGCGGCCGTTGCCCCTCGAGGAGGAGCCGTTGCCCGTCCCGCCGCGCCGCTCTGCCCCTCGCCTGGGAGCCCGCCAGGTAACCGCTACCCGCTGCCCTCCCGGGAGCGCCGGCGCTGCGCTTCTCCCCGCTCTCTCGCCCCTCGGACCGGGGGGGCCGCCCGACAGCGGCGGGGTTCTCCTCCCTCCGAGAGGGTTGGGGTGGCGGGCGGGGGTCCCCACTGCTGGGGCGGGTCCCACCAGGGCGGTATTGCGCCAGGAGGCTGCTTACAACCTGTAGGATCTTGCCCCCCAGCACTGGGATCTTTTTATTTAAATACGTTATTTTAATTTTTATTTAGACTGATACGTGGGCAAACTACAATCGAAGTTGCTGCTATTTCTCCCCCCACACCCCATTCTGCACCATCGCTTCCTTGCGTTTAAAGGTTCTGCATGAAACCTCGTGCCCATCCCACCATCTTTACCTTCCTGCGGGTTATGCACGTGCAAGGGGATAGTAATTTTTAATTTTTAGATTGATTCTTTGCATTAAAGAAAAATTAAAAAAATCTGTCTTAAATGAGGCGGTGCATTTCCCTAATGAAAACCAGCTTCCTGCATAATGAATTAACTCTTTAATTCACATCAGTTCTATGAGACATTAAATTGTTAGGAATCCTTTACACTCTTAATTTTGAATTCTAAGTATTAATAAAAATCCCAGTTGTCACATATCTTTCTATATTGTGCATATCAAATAAGTTGGTCAGAATTAAATAATTCTGAAACTTTTTTCTCCAATTTCCATAGTTGAGGAAAGAGTGAGCTTGAGCATTACTTGCAGTAACAAGCTGGAGAGAATCTGTAGAAATTGCCTTCTCTTTCTTAACAATGTGATTTATTACAGGCTTTATGTTGCTTTTCTTACGGAGTGCACCGTTCTTGCATGAGACAGAATCTTGTGTGTGTCTTTTAACTATACTTCTGACAGGATTTCCTAAAGGATAAAAAGGCAAATGTTAGATACCGTGTGTAAAGCCACAAAGAGGAGTCCTGTGCTCTTTCCAGAACAGAAATAAAAAGACTTACTTAACTTCTGTATGCTTGTAACTAAGTATGCTGCTTCATTTATCTTTGCAGTAATAAGCATATATAAAACTGTATTTTAATGTACAGAATAAGCAAATAAAAAAATATTTGAGTGACAGAGACTTCATCCTCTCAGTTTTTAGCATACCTGTCATCCCTGCATGGTCAGGTTGCTTCATGGTACACAGTGCTGATGTGTATGTAAACTTGTTACCAACAAAGTACTCAACATTTTTTCCTTTAAATTGTAGACTAGCTATTGTAAAATAACTGCTTTTCTTTCTTTCTTTCTTTGATTATCTAGTATAATCATACTGTAGAACAAGTCATTTAAATGGTCGCTTATGGAATAATGACATTGTTAGTAATTTTACTTCCATTAAGTGTATTTTATGGTGCAAGCCCAGAGGATTCTAATACTCCATCATTTACTTATCTCATTCAAATGTATTTTCAAATCAGCTGCTATGTGCATCCAAGGTAGCATAAGACGTCGGTTTCATATTTTATAACCACCCAGGTTTACCACTGGTGCTGGTCTGTTCTGGCCTGTTTTTTTAATTTCATAGCAGCAGATATGTAGATATTCAGTGGCTTAAATATAATTGATACTGACATCTGTCTGCACTGACAGTGAGAATTCTCCACCACAGAATTACCACAGTGACACCACTTGATAGTACTGTCAGGATGAGGGCTGAGGGCTCAATGACTGCAGGGGCTGATCTACCTTTACCTCACAGTAGCATCTATCTTAACTAGAAAGTTTGGGCTCATGTTGTCTGTGAAGGACTTTTGTCCTTTAAAGCTGGCTATTTGGCATGCTTTACAATAGATTTCATTTAGATAGAATTGGTAAAATGATATGACTTTTTCTATTGGACTTCTGTTTTATTTGTGACTTTTTTTTTTTAATCTCATGAGTATATGAAACCTAAAAATTATCTTAGTGGGTTCTGGGGTTTTTCTTTCTGATGGTTTCATCCAGCTGCTTTTTAGAGAGAATGAAGGCTTATAGTTACCTGCTATTGTGATTTCTGTTTCTACCAAAAAAAAAAAACAAAAAACCAAGTGCTGGAATAGCTTCTAGAGTTAGAAACAAAATCAGTGCTATTTTGTATATTTTAAGCATTGTTGTGCTTTAACCCCAGCCAGCAACTAAGCACTACACAGCCACTCACTCAGTTCTCTCCCCTCCCAGTGGGATGGGGAGGAGAATAGAAAAAAAAATAAAACTAGTGGATTGAGATAACTGTTTAGTAACTGACAGAAAGCATAACAACACTAATTAAAAATTATAATATTAGTATAATGAAAATGAATATAACAAAAAGCTCGAGAAATAAAACCCAAGAAAAGGGAACTGATACACAATGCAGTTGCTCACCACCTGCTGACCGATGCCTGAGCAGCGATCTGTGCTTCCCAACCAACTCCCCCCCAGTTTCTATACTGAGCGTGATGTCCTATGGCGTGGAATATCCCCTTGGCTAGTTCAGGCCAGCTCTCCTGGCCACGCTCCCTCCCAGCTTCTTGTGCACCTCCTCACTGGCTGAGCACAGGAAACTGAAAACTCCTGAACCTAGGATAAGAGCTACTTAGCAACAACTAACACATCAGTGTGTTATCAACATTGTTGTCACACCAAGTATAAAACAAAGCACTGTACCAGCCACTAGGAAGAAAATTAACTCTATCCCAGCTGAAACCAGGACAAGCATCTTTTCTTCTAG